GGAAAAGCAATGGAAAAATTGCAGTTCCGATGTGTGACCACTATGGAGTAGAAGCACAGAAAAAAAACCATGGAAGAAACGAGTAAAACCGTTTATACGGTGCAACTGTAGGGATTGTGGAAGGTGCATTTGGGTAAGCGTTAGACACACTGAGAGAATAGAAGGGTAATGATGGAGAAATCGAGCAACACCATGGCAAAACACTGGAAAAATTGATGAAATGGAAGGATAAATTGATAGCGTAAAATATGGGACGGTTGAGTAAAACTGGAGGAAAAACTGTGAAAAAAACACTGGGGAGACTGGAATGGAGGGGAAAATGATGTCGAGTAAAACTATGGAAAAGCAATGGAAAAAAATGAAAAAATGTGGCTTCTATGTGAGACCATTAGCGATGGAAAAGCAATGGAAAAATCGAGGGACTATGATGAAGAAGTGGAGAAAAACAATGGAAAACATATTGGAAAAATTGCGGCTCTGATGTGGGACCAAAATGATGCCAAGTAAAATAAGAGTAAAATGACGGAAATTGATGGGATGGAAACACAATGGAAAAATTGAGGCTCCGATGTGGGACCATTATATGTGCAAGAAGAGTTTCTGGGTGAAGAGTCTCTAGGTGAAAAGTATATGGGTGAAAAGTTTGTGCCAGAAGAGTTTCTGGGTGAAGAGTCTCTGGGTGAAAAGTCTGTGCAAGAAGAGTTTCTGGGTGAAGAGTCTCTGGGTGAAAAGATGTGAACAGTATATTGTTGAAAAGTATGTGCAAGAAGAGTTTCTGGGTGAAGAGTCTCTGGGTGAAAAGTATATGGGTGAAAAGTAGGCGCAAGAAGAGTCTCTGGGTGAAAGTATATGGGTGAAAAATATGTGCAAGAAAAGTTTCTAGGTGAAGAGTCTCTGGATGAAAAGTATATTGGTGAAAAGTATGTGCAAGAAGACTTTCTGGGTGAAGAGTCTCTGGGTGAAAAGTATATGGGTGAAACGTATGTGCAAGAAGAGTCTCTGGGTGAAAAGTATATGGGTGAAAAGTATGTGGGTGAAAAGTATATTGGTGAAAAGTATGTGCAAGAAGAGTTTCTGGGTGAAGAGTCTCTGGGTGAAAAGATGCGAAAAGTATATGGGTGAAAAGTATGTGCAAGAAGAGTTTCTGGGTGAAAGTATATGGGTGAAAAATATGTGCAAGAAAAGTTTCTAGGTGAAGAGTCTCTGGGTGAAAAGTATATTGGTGAAAAGTATGTGCAAGAAGAGTTTTTGGGTGAAGAGTCTCTGGGTGAAAAGTATATGGGTGAAATGTATGTGCAAGAAGAGTCTCTGGGTGAAAGTATATGGGTAAAAATTATATTGGTGAAAAGTATAATTGAGGCTCCGATGTGGGACCATTATATGTGCAAGAAGAGTTTTTGGGTGAAGAGTCTCTAGGTGAAAAGTATATGGGTGAAAAGTTTGAGCAAGAAGAGTTTCTGGGTGAAGAGTCTCTGGGTGAAAAGTCTGTGCAAGAAGAGTTTCTGGGTGAAGAGTCTCTGGGTGAAAAGATGTGAACAGTATATTGTTGGTGAAAAGTATGTGCAAGAAGAGTTTCTGGGTGAAGAGTCTCTGGGTGAAAAGTATATGGGTGAAAAGTAGGTGCAAGAAGAGTCTCTGGGTGAAAGTATATGGGTGAAAAATATGTGCAAGAAAATTTTCTAGGTGAAGAGTCTCTGGGTGAAACGTATATTGGTGAAAAGTATGTGCAAGAAGAGTTTCTGGGTGAAGAGTCTCTGGGTGAAAAGTATATGGGTGAAACGTATGTGCAAGAAGAGTCTCTGGGTGAAAAGTATATGGGTGAAAAGTATGTGCAAGAAGGGTTTCTGGGTGAAGAGTCTCTGGGTGAAAAGTATATGGGGTGAAAAGTATGTGCAAGAAGAGTTTCTGGGTGAAGAGTCTCTGGGTGAAAAGTATATGGGTGAAAAATATGTGCAAGAAGAGTTTCTGGGAGAAGAGTTCTGGGTAAAAAGTATATGGGCGAAAAGTATGTGCAAGAAGAGTCTCTGGGTGAAAAGTCTGTGCAAGGAGAGTTTCTGGGTGAAGAATCTCTGTCTCTGGGTGAAAAGTGAATGGGTGAACTGATGTGCAAGAAGAGTTTCTGGGTGAAGAGTCTCTGGGTGAAAAGTATATGGGTGAAAAGTATGTGCAAGAAGGGTTTCTGGGTGCAGAGTCTCTGGGTGAAAAGTATATGGGTGAAAATTATGTGCAAGAAGAGTTTCTGGGTGAAGAGTCTCTGGGTGAAAAGTATATGGGTGAAAAGTATGTGCAAGAAGAGTTTCTGGGTGAAGAGTCTCTGGGTGAAAAGTATATGGGTGAAAAGTATGTGCAAGAAGAGCTCCTGGGTGAAGAGTCTCTGGGTGAAAAGTATGGGCGAAAAGTATGTGCAAGAAGAGTTTCTGGGTGAAGAGTCCCTGGGTGAAAAGTATGTGCAAGAAGAGTTTCTGGGTGAAGAGTCTCTGGGTGAAAAGTATATGGGTGAAAAGTATGTCAAAGAAGGGTTTCTGGGTGCAGAGTCTCTGGGTGAAAAATATTTGGGTGAAAAGTATGTGCAAGAAGAGTTTCTAGGTGAAGAGTCTCTGGGTGAAAAGTATATGGGTGAAAAGTATGTGCAAGAAGAGTCTCTGGGTGAAAAGTATATGGGTGAAAAGTATGTGCAAGAAGAGTTTCTAGGTGAAGAGTCTCTGGGTGAAAAGTATATGGGTAAAAAGTATATGGGTGAAAAGTATGTGCACGAAGAGTTTCTGGTTGAAGAGTCTCTCGGTGAAAAGTCTGTGCAAGAAGAGTTTCTGGGTGAAGAATCTCTGGGTGAAAAGTATATGGGTGAAAAGTATGTGCAAGAAGAGTTTCTGGGTGAAGAGTCTCTGGGTGAAAAGTATCTGGGTGAAAAGTATGTGCAAGAAGAGTTTCTGGGTGAAGTCTCTGGGTAAAAAGTATATATGGGTGAAAAGTATGTGCAAGAAGAGTTTCTGGGTGAAGAGTCTCTGGGTGAAAAGTCTGTGCAAGAAGAGTTTCTGGGTGAAGAGTCTCTGGGTGAAAGGTATATTGGTGAAAAGTATGTGCAAGAAGAGTTTCTGGGTGAAGAGTCTCTGGGTAAAAAGTATATGGGTGAAAAGTATGTGCACGAAGAGTTTCTGGGTGGAAAATCTCTGGGTGAAAAGTATATGGGTGAAATGTATTGAAGAGTCTCTGGGTGAAAAGTATGGTGGAAAATAGGGGTAGATGGGATGCTGGCTTTCGTTCCCCCCTTCTCAGGTAGGAGTTGCATGGGAAAATTGGTTTCATGGTAATCTGTGTGAAGTTAGAAAAGTGTGATTTCGTTCACAGAGTAAGAAAAATAAATACAATCTGCAGATTAGAGTATTTATAATGCTTAAAACTGTTTGACGTTTTTTGGTGCCTCCCTGATTCTGGTAGTTTTGTGATAAGAACTACAAAAACGATCTACTGGTAAACGGAAGGAATAGTCTTTCCGGTTTAGAACTGAGTCGACTGTCAAGTGATGCATAGGCTCCAGGCCTCTGGTTATTGTCACAAAGCATTGGAATGAAGATTGCGCCCAGGAGCCACCTAGGTTAGGAGACAAATGCTGTAATATCATTGTAAGAGGCCGTACTGAGAAGGCTGAAACAGAACTAAAAGTGAATCTTGTACTAAAACATCGAGAAAGAATTTGAATCTTCTAATGGCAATGACGGGAATGATATGCATCTGTACGTCCGTGATAGTATGTGTGCCTTTTAAAAGGGATGTTTGGCGAGTGTGATAGCTGAGAAGATTTTCCGGGATGCCAAACAATTATCTCTATCGATGTCAGGGATGATGCTATTCCGCGACATTTCCTGTAAAATACCTATTTTCCAGACCCTTGGGGGGTGGGGGGGGGTACCCAGGTCTGTAAATGGCCTAAATATATATACTTTTGATTTGGACTGCATGTTCGCCACTGTTCTATATTTCCCGTGGGTTTTGCATTGTTTTCCTCGATTTTCATTCGTTCTTATACCCTTTCTTACGTATGTTATAATATTGTCTTGGGTTTGCATTGCCCATTTTGCGAGTAGAGCTATATTTGATTTCTCACCGTACGGCCAAAATGTTGCGGAACTTCGCGGAGAAGCATGGACCACGATTCTGGGGAGAAAACAATTTAGACTTTGAGAGGTCACATGACCACTGTTCACACAAAAAAACGGGTATTATTTATCTACAATAGGTGGGAGCAAACTTGCGCTGTTTTAAGATAAATGAGCAACCAAAGGCGGATTTACGGAACTTGAGATAGAACTTTTCACAATGCCGCAGTACATTGTAGGAAACATATTTGGATATAGAAGTTACAAAATCGTGGAGTTTACCCTAAAAAGGTCCATTTAATGATTGGAAAATTATGACCCGATAGCAATTGTTGATGTTGGGGCGCTTCATGTTTGAGCCATGCCATATGGATGAGGTGGAGTTTCACGCGCCCCCGCGCGAGTCAAAAAGCAAGCGCTGGCTTTCGTTCCACCCCTTCTCAGGTAATTGTACATCATTGTACATAATTATATCATATACATATCTTAGACATATATATTAATATTTATGTATATATATATATATTTCAACGTATTTCAACTTGACATATATGATAAAAGTGCACACCGAGGACTTACTTACATATGTGTATATATGCAATGTAACGTAACGTAACGTAACGTAACATAATGTAATGTATGCATGGTATATATATATAATATACATGTGAATATGGTGTATATTTATTTTTCTGGCAACCTCTCCCGGGTTGGCTGAATCCCCCTGAACTGGATCAAGTTTGAGCACGACCTCACGACGACCTGACCTAACTGTTGGGCCCACCATGTATGAACGGCTTCGTTTCTGATTGAAGGGAACAGATTATCTGCTTGTTTTCCAGCTATGTGCTGGATGTCCGGCAGAAGCCTGGCCGGCGACCGTGGCAACCGTGGCAACCGTGGCAGGTGAACCAGTTGGATACCGAACATCAGACGGCCCTGATGTGGGCTGCTGCCTTTGGCCATTCCTCCGTAGTGCAGGGCCTCATCGGGCGAGATGCCAAGGTTGGTGTGCAGGGCAGCTTGAAGCCATGCCGAAAAATGACTGGAAACAACGAGTTGTAGTTTAGATCTTCAATATGTGTTCGATTCCTCATCGAAGGAAGTTTAGAAGTCAAACTTCCGACAATATGGACAAATGAAAAGCAGAGATGGAAAGAGTCAGAGAGAAGAGACGAGTAGAAGAGAGAAGATCAGAGAAGAGAAAGAGTCAGAAGATAGAAGATGCAGGTGCGCGAAAAGGTAGGAAAGTCGCGAAACACTGTGTTTTTCCAATGATTTGTGGCTCCGGAGGGTCGAAAAGTAGGCTCGCTAAAGCGGCGGGTGCGGAGTCATTTGGCCAGATGAGAGATGAAGAATTGCACGCCGTTGTGGCGCGAAGCACATTTCGAAGTCAAAATGTACAAAACACCTCAGATTCGGACCACTTTTGGAAGTTGAGATGTCGAAAAAGTGCAGGCCGTTGTGGCGCGAAGCACATTTCGAAGTCAAAATGTACAAAACGCCACATGTACGCGCCGCTTTTGGAGGTTCAGATGTCTTTTCGCGTGGCAGGCGCAAGGGATTGTGCACCTTCTCAAAAGTGAGTAAAACGTGAGGTTTTTTTTAGCATTTCCAAAAACGATGGCAGGCGTGGGACATTTGAAGAGGATCTGCAAAGATGCATTTTCCGTGGCAGGCACAGTACAAGAGACATCTTCATCGGAGCTGTTAGGAGGTCCGGGTGTGATTTCCTGAGAGGGGTTGCATTTTGGAGCATCAGATCTTGAGGTTTGCTAAGATGATTTTGCATGACAGGTGCAGCACATCGTATGACCTGGCATCACTTTTTCGTGGCAAGCGCAGTACTTTCGACAGGTGGACTGGAAAAATCGCAAAACGCATTGGTACGAGGCTGTCAACTCTGCGCTCAACTTTCTATTTTTGAAGAAAGTGTCGCAGAATTGCTTTGTTTTTGATGTTGTCAACTTCGAAAAATGAGGAAGTCTCGCGGCATTGCTTCGTTTTTGATGTTGTCAACTTCGAAAAATGAAGAAGTCTCGCAGAATTGCTTCGTTTTTGATGTTGTCAAGTTCAAAAACTGAGGAAGTCTCGCAGAATAGCTTTGTTTTCAAGCTTGCAGATAGACAGATAGATAGACAGACAGACAGAGAGATAGAGAGATAGAGAGATAGATAGATAGATAGATAGATAGATAGATAGATAGATAGACAAATAGATAGATAGATAGATAGATAGATAGATAGATAGATAGATAGATAGATAGATAGATAGATAGATAGATAGATTAGATAGATCCGATAGATTAGATAGATTAGATAGATTAGATAGAATAGATAGATAAATAGATAGATAGATAGATAGACAGACAGATAGATAGATAGACAGACAGATAGATAGACAGACAGACAGGCAGACAGAGAGATAGAGAGAGAGAGAGAGATAGATCGATCGATAGATAGATAGACAGACAGAGAGAGAGTGAGAGAGAGAGAGAGAGATGGATAGATGGATGCATAGATAGGTAGGTAGGTAGGTAGGTAGATAGGTATGTAGGTAGGTAGGTAGGTAGGTAGGTAGTCAGAGAAAGAGAAAGAAAGAGAGAGAAAGAGAGGATACCTCAACCACCTGTCGGTCCATCAGTGGCTTCGCTCTGCCATCCGTGACTCACAACAACCAATCTCTCCTATAGGTTTCCTATTTTTGAAACTTCCGCCACCGCCTTGTGCGGTACTACTGGAATTGTATATACCTCCAATGTATGCAATTATTTGCAAGGTTAGGTATGTTGGGATTATTATAATGATACAGTACAAGAGCATTATACAATGGTGCGTTATATCTTTTATGTCTATTGCAAGTCCTTGTGCGAGTAGCTATTGGCGTTCCGGATGCGGGTCAAGATAGGATTTGAGAAAAGGCCATGTTCAAATTTGGCCATGTCCAGTGGTAAAACCATCTTTCTGACCGTACTATTTGGGTTCCATGTGCACGGTTTTGTTGTTGAACACACTCTAATCCCAGATTTGGGCTGGTTGAATTCATGTTGGATTCTGTTAGATAACTGTTAGATGCCATTCTTGTTGCGAGAATCCCCTTATGTTACCCCCCCAGCTGTTCACTTTTCGTCGTCGAACTTCCCCAGGTGGATTTGCCCTGCAAGGGCGGCAAGACCGCCCTGATGATGGCCTGCGCGCTGGGGCGTGAAGCGGTCGTACAGGACGGCACCATAGATGCCATAGATACCATGGGCATCCATGGGCAAATTACATAGTGAAAAAATGTGAAAACTTGGATTTAATCATCATATGATGGGGATTTTCGTGGGATTTCATAGTCTCTGGGGATCCGGCACCCAGTTTGGCAGACGAACGTCCCCAGAATGCTGAGCTGGTGGCGGCGAAGACACGGTGTATCATTGAGTAAAGTCCAGCAGTGAAAGGCCCCACTCCCAGTGGTGGAGGTTTTAGATCCACCAGCTATCACCTAGTGACCCTTTTTTTTTTCCCATTTGGTCATAGATTTTTCAAAAAAAAATCTAGATGTCTCTCAGTGACCTGTAAAGAAATCCACTTAATAAACTTGGCAGAGTTTGGCAGTACAGGTTGAACCCTTATTTGTTGTGCGCATTTTTGGCAGGATCTGCTGAGCGCCAGGGCCAAGGTGGAACAGCAGGACTCAGAGGGCCACAATTCGCTCTTCGGGGCCATTCAATGTGGGAGCCAGGACGGCAGGGCGGCACTGGATCCATGGAGCCAGGAATAGTATTTTTGGGAACTACTTCTGATGCATAGGAATTCACCATCGGACTTCAATCCTAGCGGGTTGAACATGAACCAAGATGGCTTTGGATTTGCGGAAGCACCTTTTCTGTATGACTCAGTATGATCTGATTTCAGGATGTTCGAAGCGTACAGGATAATCCCACGCTGGGAGTTGCTGGATCGTTCTGCCAGCCACAGAAATCATGGAGCCATGGAATTCTTCCAGCCTGCAGGACGTGGTGACGATGCTGATCCAACACAAATGTCCCATTGAGGCTGCCCAAGTCTGGTCTTTGTGATGGCTATATATAAGACTGACTGGTTGAATGGGAATTTTCGCATTTTCACATGAGACAATATGAGAACGTATATCAACTAGCAGAAGACGTAGAAGGGGATAACTGAGACCATCACAGGTTGTTTTTGCGACCGATGCTTGATTCACCGCATTTGTTTTATCTCATGTGTAAGAATTGGGATTGATATACCCAAGATGCCCAAGATCCTCAACACTACACCCCCCTTATATCCCCTTATGATATATTCACATTTTATTGTGTGGGCATGCGTGTATGCACTGTATTATAATTATATATATATATATGTATATATATACAGTAATCATTATATATATATAGATACGTGTGTATATCTCCATACACATGCACACACACACATACACACACACATGTAATATATATATATATCCACATGCATACATATGCAATACTGTATAACTACCGGTGTCCCTCACAACATGAGTCCTCCAACCGCCCCCTTTAAGCTGACTGACCCGTCTTTCTTAGGCACACACCAAGAAGGGCGAGACGCCACTAATTTGGGCGGCCATGCAGCAGCAACTGGACTGCCTCAAGGTCCTCATCACGGCCCGCGCCAACCTGAACGCTCAGGCGCCGGTGTGGGTGTGGTGTAGGTGATCTGCTGCTGTGATTGGAACAGAAATCTTGGGGTTCCCTGTGGATCTTTCAGGGTGTGGTTTTTGCAAGCACAGGATGAGAATGGGCAAAAGGCCCTGGACCACGCAGAGGGGACCTTGAACAGCAAGGCCGGCAGCACATTTCCTGGTGGTGAGATCTCATTTGGAACCTAGGGGAATTAGTAGCAATCAGATATATGTATGTATGTATATATAGATATATACATCCAGCCAAAAAAATGTTAGATCCCTTGATTGGTGAGATTTTCTGAGGTGGTCGTGATGGCATGCACTCCCAATCAACTCCCAGGCAAAGCGCTAGTTTTATTGTCCTCTCTCCCACTCACATGGACCCCACCAAAGTTTGGAAGACTACTTTCCGACCTAAAAATTAGGGCTATTCTCAGGGTCAACCTGTTATTGCTGGACTCTTGAATCCCAGTTTTTCATTTTGATTCATTACTCCAGTAGTTCACCAAAGTTTCAGTATATTTGTTGCAAGAGCACTCAACAGCACGTAAATCATTTCCAACAGATTTATTGGCATCTCGTTTTGTACCATAGTATATCTATGTATATCAACAATCCCCAAAAAATTGTTGGCTTTACCCCAGTTGCTAACCAGTACCCAAACGGATAAACGTTGCCATAGATGTGTTCCAACCTGTGGGGTTTCCCGGTCGGAAAACGATCCTGGCAGGTCGTGGAGATGCTACGTCAAGCCATGCGGGCCGCGTCCTGACCGCGTCCTGACGTCGGTCTCACTGCACGCGGAGCGAATCAGCCCGCGGGAGCCTTTGGAAAAAAGGACCGAAGGTCGGAGAGTCGGTCAAGGCAGGTTGGTCCTAAAGCACCAGTTTACTCTACCAGATTATTATTAACCATCAAAAAAACCATCATCATAAACCATCATCATTAACCATCATTAACAGTATATTAACCACATATTCACAGTATATATACCCTCTGGTTATGTCAAACATAGCTATTGAAAATGGCCATTTATAGTGGATTTTCGCATAAAAAATTGTGATTTTCCATAGCTATGTTAAATTACCAGAGGGTAACAAGGAGATCACCCAGGTCACCAGTTTTTGGAGTTGAAGAAAATACTGTCTTGGGGGTAAGCTCCTCAATAAATATGTTACTGTAATCCGGGGTTGACATGGACCCCCCTGTTTTTGTTTTAAAAATGCAGGTGGTAGGAAAGACATAGACGACATAGAGCATTGGGTTGACACTACCAGCCATGATGTTGCACTATATTCGCAGCTAAGACTATGTATGACGTGGGAACAGCTGGAGAACATTGATCATTGTAGTTGGATGGATATATTAAAGCTAGTCATGTGTGCACATGTTATTGCTTGTGCCATGTTCAAAACAGGGTTTGCCTTGATGATTGATGCCTGACCTTCAAGGCTGGGGTTAGTAATAGATAGTAATGATAGTAGTAATTGTATATATTATTTTGGCCTAGTGTTGGCAAATACCCCTGACAGGCTGAAACCATTTGACTTCTCATTCCATTGGGATGACCCAAAAAGCGCTCTCTGAAACACGGGCCGCCGTTCGAGGTCCTGCAGTTCCGTGTTGTCCAACGGTGCCTTTAAAATGGGGGATCTGGAGCCTGGGGCGAAGACAATCCCTTCCAATCCCGGATCAACATTGAGGTTTAGAGCTGGGAAAATCATCGAACGATTTCAAAGTGGGTGAGATTTTCAATTGCCACGTTTGACTAAGGGTTCGAAGGTTCAAAGTACCCGCCCTCATACATCCTGGTTCAGTTTAGGATGAATTGGAATCGGACTCGCGATTTGGGAGTATTTCATTTACACTAGGCGGGTGGGATGAATTCTTGCAGGAAAGGTGCCTTTTCAAGAGGAGGACCACTCCAAAACGTTTTTTGAGGACGCCCGCATTTTTTCCAGATAAGGGCTAATGTTCTGGTATGCATGGCGGCATGGCGCCATCATTGCCACTCCATCGTGGGAATTTAAACAACTTTAGATCATCAGAGTTTTACCCGCATTTCATTTAGATTCACCACGTATGTATACACACATTATTTATATATTTATATTTATATACACACATTATTTACATATTTATATTTATGTTTCTATTTATATACATATACATCTTCATATATACTCAATATGTATGTATACATATACGGACATATGATGCAACATACATATATATATGTTGTTTGCCACAGCATCTTCAATCCCTTGCCAGGTCACATCATACCGTGGCCTTGGCTCAATGCCCCAAGGAACCATTCTGTTCACCGCTGTCGCAATGAGAGGTGAAAAGAGTCCGATTGTCTAGGCCAGGAGGCCAACGGTGGGAAGGGTCAGGAGACCCAAGGTTGAGAGCTCCCTACCAACATTGGTAGCGGAGCTGGTCCGCGATACCAGTATCCGTCTCAGTTCCAGGAGGAACAAGCGAGCACAGCATCTATGTCGTCATCGACATCCAGCTCTGACCATGGCGGTAGTGTCCGCAGTTTCAGCGGCGAGAACGAAGACTTCAAGGAGTACCGGCGCTGGAAGCTCTGGCTTGTCAACAAGTTTGCAACTCTGGATAAATTGCCTAAGGAAGCTCGTGGTTCGTATCTGTTTACACTGCTGCAGGGAAAGGCTTTGGAATGCGTGGAGCACCTTGAGCCTTCGGAATACCAGAAAGAGGGTGGAGAGAAAAAGCTCTTAGACCTCTTAGATCTAAGGTTTCCACAACGTGATGAAACTGATGAACTGGCTGAAGTCCTGAATGAGGTGTTTAGCCTGCGATCCAAGGAAGGAGAGTCCCTTCGACAGTGGATCAGCAGGGCAACAGAACTGTTTGACCGATGTGAGCGCAAGGGCAATGTCAAGTTTCCGGAAGAGGCCCGCGGATTCATGTTACTCAAGTGGAGTGGTCTGAATGAAGAACAGCAGGCGGTTGTGAAAGGCCGCTCCATGGGAGATTTGAAACGTGAAGCCGTGAGCAAGGCCATGAGAAGCTGTTATCCGGATTTCATCAATTCCCGGAAAAAGGCAGTAGCTTTGGTTCAGGATGAGCTTGGGGATTCACCTAGTTTGCCACCTGACGATGAGGTCACAGGTTTTGACGATGTTGAACTCTTCCTGGCTGACTATGTCAAAGACATTGATGAACAAGATCTGGAATACCCTGAAGAAGAGGTCGCTGAGGTTCTTGCTGCCACGTGGAAGGACAAGAGAGCTGAGATAAATCGTCTCCAGAAACTTCGCAAGTTCGACCAAGCCAAGGATTTGCGTAGGTCTTTCCGAGTGGAGATTGAAGAGATGAAACGCAAAACCAAGTGCAATCGATGTGGCAAACTTGGCCATTGGGCTAGGGAGTGCAGGCAAAAACGAGATCCCTCAGCTCCATCTCATGCCTCCAAAGGAAATGTGAAGGAAACAGCTGCTAGCTATGTGGCCCCTGAAGTCGTTGTCGAGCAGCCTGTTTTTGTGGCCGCAGTGGAGTCCCAAAGGACATTGGTGCAACAGGTGCAGTGCCTACATGAGCAACGTGCGCAACCAGCACAAGAGGTCCTTCTGGTCAGCAGTCCAGGCTTTGCTGTTCTGGATTCAGGTTGTGGCAAAACAATAGTTGGGCAAAAAACCTTGTCTCAGTTTCAGAGTCTCTGGAAGAAAGATGATCGCTTTCAACCTACGTTCAAGGATGAGGTGAACGTATTCAAGTTTGGAAACGGCGAACGTGAGACTTCCACTCAAGTTGTTGTCATGCCCATAGGCCTGGATGGAAAGTTTGGAACAGTTCAAGCAGCCATAGTAGCAGGTGATGCGCCTCTGCTGCTGTCGAGACCAGCCCTGAAAAGACTTGGGGCCAGCATTGACTTTGCGAATGATCGCTTGTCACTGTTTGATGGCAAGACCCAAGTCCAGCTGAAGTCCAACGTTGCGGGCCAATACGTCCTCGACGTTATGAACTTTCCAGTCCGCACCATTGAGCATGAGGTTCAGTTGGTGGATGTGCCTTCCACTGCATCCGATGCCGGTCTGTCCAAGAAGTCAGAGAATGAGCAAGATAAGCATAACGGGGATAGCTGTGATAAGGGGATAACGGATAAGACGGGGAATAACCGGGGTATAGAGCTCGAGTCCAATCCAGTTTCTGCATTAGGTCCTGCATCCGTGTCAGTCCCGTCCGTGTCTCGTCCCTTTTCCAATGCACAGTGGTCCCCCATTGCCAGTGAGTCTTTGCCTGGTCAGAGGCCGTGTTATGAATGTCTTGGAACCCAGAACATTCCCAACAGTAAGAAACAGGGTGGCCTTACCAAGAAACAGGTCCGACAGCTGAATCATCAACTCAAGTCAATCAGGCTTGGAAGCAAGTATGCAGTTGCCGAGGTGTTTTGCCCCCCTAGATTTACCCCTGAGGTAGAAAAGATGGGACTCAAGGGCATATCCTTCGACGTGTTGAATGGATGGGACTTCACCGTCAAGGCCAATCGGGATTGGGTTAAGGAAGAACTCAGACTGAATCCTCCAGAGCTTTTGGTTATTTGTCCGCCATGCACTGACGCAGGGGGCTGGTTCAACCTTAACTCCTTGTACATGTCCTGTAGTGAAGTCTTGAGCCGTCGACGGAAGTTGAAAACTTTCATGCTGTTTGTCAAAGATTTGATCAGGCAACAGGTGGCAGCAGGTGGCAGATTTCTGTTTGAACACCCTGCCGGGTCCGATGTTTGGCATGATGATGAAATGCAACAATGGTGTCAAGAGTTGACGTCCTTCATCACTCACGTGTGCTGTTTTGACCTTCACCTGCCAGCTCGTGGAGATAAGCCGAAGAGGTATATCCGTAAGAGCACCTGATTGTTGTGTAGCCACCCAGACATGGAAGTCCTCCAACGCCACTGCCCAGGAGAGTCAGCGCCTGAACATGACCATGCCACTATTGCCGGCAGTGAACCAGGAATCGGATCCGTGAGCAAACATGCTGGGCGATACACCCCAGATTTTGTACAGGCTGTGCTGAACACCGTGCCGAAGTTTCGTTCATGCACTGAAGTGTTAGTCTGTAATTGGGATGGCAATGATCACCATGATGCTCTTCCGTTTGAAGTTTTAGCCACCGAAGCCGAGGCTGACCCTGAGAAGTTGAAAGCTGTTCTGCATCGGCTGCACAAGAATTTAGGCCATCCTTCCAATCACGATCTAGTACGCATTTTGCGTCATGGTCAAGCCAGTGAAACTGCCATTAAGTTGGCCAAAGACTTGTCTTGTGACTTTTGCACAGCGCGTCAAGCCCCGACAGTGGCAAATCCCGGCCAAGCACATCGCGTGCTAGAATTCAACCAGCGTGTTGGTTTGGATGTCAAGTACCTGCCTGGCTGGAAACCAAATCAAAAGATTTCTGCTCTTAACATAGTGGACTATGCTTCGTCCTATCAACTCATGGTGCCCTTCTTTGAGACTGAAACAGCGAGTGTTCTACGGAAGTTGTACCTTGAGAAATGGGTAAATTGGGCCGGTCCCCCAAAAGAAGTCATTCTTGACCCAGCCAGAACAAACCTTGGTAAGGCAATGGTTGAACCTACAGAGCTTGAAGGAACCCATGTGTTGGTGACTGCAGCAGGAGCCCATTGGCAACTTGGTAAGACAGAAGTTCATGGTGGTTGGTTTTCACGTGTGTTGTCCAAAGTTTTGGAACAGAAAAGTCCTGAAAACAAAGAAGAGTGGCTGGAATGTGTTATTCAGAGCCATGTCAAAAATCAAATGATCCCAAACTACGGCTATACTCCCAGTCAGTTCATATTTGGCAAGAACCCTGAGCTTCCCGGAGATGTCTTGAATGAACCAGCTGATGCAGTTGCTTGTACAGCCTCCTTGCAAGATCAAGCGCTTGCACGAAAATATGCCGTGCGTTCTGCGGCCAGGCAAGCTGTCCTGCAATTGCAAGACGATCAAAGTCTCCGCCGAGCCTTGATCGCCAGACCAAGACGGGATAAACCTTTCAACTCAGGCGATGTTGTCGCCTACTGGCGTGATCAGAAATGGAGCAAAGGCCTTTTGTCTCAGGGTGGCCGCTGGTATGGAAGTGGCATCGTCATAGGTCTGGTAGGACGAAATGTCATTGTTGCCCACAGAAACCACATCTTGCGTTGTGCACCAGAACAAGTTCGTTTAGCCACCGGTGAGGAAAGATCCCTGGTTGAGACACCCGAGACTCAGCTACTGGGTATTAAAGACATGATTGAACATGGAACTTTCCGTAGTCACCAGTATGTAGACCTTGTGGCACAGGCATATCCTCCCCAAGAACCGGCAGTGTTGGCACATGATGTTGAGACGCCCTCAGAATCTGATCAAGCCCTTGGTAGCCAGAGTAGTCAATCTGTTCCTGCTATCTCTCGACCAGAGCTTCCGAGCGTACCTGCAAATGAAGAAACCGCTGAACAACCCAATGCGGAAGTATCCAGTTCTGGTGCAGGCCCATCAGAAGCGGTTGAGATGGCAGAAGCCCCCTCTGGTTCTAGTGACTATGGCCCAGTTCGTCGCCGTCGGCTGCCGTCCAAAAGTGGCCCTATGACCCTGTTCCGTCCAACTGCCATGAGACAAGACGATTTTGTAGAAGTCATGCAAGAGGTTGTTCCCCACTTGATTGAGGAAGCAGTTGAAGCCGAACAGGCCAATCGTAAGAGAAATGCTGATGAGGCCACCGACCAACCGGAGCACAAAGCTCCAAGACTTGATGCTTCGCCAGACTCCCCGGGGGAGCACCCGATTGCATATGTAGAATCAGCTTGTTGCGAAACTGTAGAATCTCATGAGTTGTGGCAAACTTTTCAAACTGCGAAGGACAATGCCGTTGAAGCCCTTGTTGCCCAGTACTATAATAAGCGAGCCCAGAAAGAGATTCCAGTTTCCAATAACGAACCGTTTTTGCAGGCAAAAGTCGATCAAGCCAAGGTCAGCGAATGGCAGACCCTGATTGACAAACAAGCCGTCCGTGTGGTCCCTCCGAAAGAAGCCAACTGGATCAAACAGCACCAACCTGACCGCATTATGGGTAGTCGTTATGTGGTTGTCAAAAAGCCTGAGGAAGAACTGATTGAGAACGGAAAACAACCTGATCCAGCCAATCTAGAACACTGGAAGGTCAAAGCCAGGTGGTGTCTTCAGGGACATTTGGACCCTGACCTACACACCAAAGTTCGTGAGGGGCAGCTTCAGTCGCCGACATTGTCACAAATTGGTCGAACCATTTTATTTCAGTTGCTAGCATCTCACAAATGGCTTTTGCAGCTCGGCGATGTGAAAGGAGCCTTTCTCGAAGCCGGACCCCTTCCTGCTTGCTACAAGCCCCTGTTTGCTAAGATTCCAGCAGGTGGCATTCCAGGTATTGACGAAGACTGTCTTATTGAGGTTCTTGGCATGGTCAAAACGATGCCCCTGCTGCTTGGTATAAGGTGTTTAACGATGAAGTTGTTGCTGCAGGTTTTGAACGTAGTAAATACGACAGTTGTCTCTACTGGATGCGAGAGGGAGGTCGTCTCACTGGTGTTCTTGGTGCCCATGTTGATGATACGGTGACAGGAGGAGAAGGCAGTCGTTATAATGATGCTATCAAAAGGCTGAGAGCCAGATTCCCTTACAGAAAATGGAGAGTTCGAGAAGGTGAATTTTGCGGTACCCACTACTGCCAAGATTCGAAGTCCTTTGATATCACCATGAGCCAGCAGGGCTTTGCACAAAACATGGAGCCTGCTCACCTTCCAAAGCACCGTAGACTCAACAGACGAGCCGTCTTGGATTCCAAAGAGATTAGCATTCTTCGTGGCATCAATGGTAGCTTGAATTGGCTGGCTTCACAGAGCCGTCCAGATTTGTCTGCACAAACCAGTATTAGTCAACAAAGTTTTCCTAATCCAACCGTGCATAATTTACTGGAAGCCAACAATGTTATCAAGCGTGCCAAACAGTTCTCCGACTTGACAGTCACGTTCAAAAGCATTCCCACGTCTAGGTTGCGTTTTTGCTGCCATAGTGATGCTGCATGGGCCAATTTAGGAAATCACACTCAAGCTGGGTACATCATCGGCTTTTCTGACGATAACTTGGATCAAGGTCATGAAACAAGTTGGACACCAGCCATGTGGAAGTCCTTTAAACTATCCCGTGCAGTAGGATCAACATTGGCAGCAGAAGCCCAAGCTATGGTCTCCGCAACTGGCACTTTGGAATGGGCCTCATTATTGCTGTCTGAAGCTCTTGATGGTATCAATGATGTTCGTGATTATTTAAAACATCTGCAATCCAGACCTCCTGTTGTTATTACTGATTGTAAGAGTTTGTATGATCATCTTGTAGCTGTTACTTCTCCAACATCTATTGAAGACCGTCGTACATCGATTGACATTGTTATCTTACGCCAGAGTCTGGAACGTTTGAAAGGATCGTTGCGATGGGTCCCTACCAACAGAATGCTAGCTGACTCTCTTACGAAGAGCGCTGGAGATCCGACTGACTTGCTGCGAGCGTGCATTCGGCAGTGCACCTACCAGATTTCTCCAGAGGAAACAGTTTTGCAGCTGCAAGCCGAGGAACGACAAAGAAGAATGCGATCCAAAGGATCAATCAGCTCTGAGTAAAATCTCATTAGCAACTGCGACTATGTATAGTTTTTCTTACTTGGGGTAAGCCTAGAACAATAATTGGGGTTATTGACCGCTTGCACTCGAGTTCAAGTGTTTAAGTGTGGACCTTGGGAACGGAATTTTGTTTTGCAAGTGATTTTCATGTTCAAGGAGCTCCTCTGAACGCCCTTTTCCGTTTTCCGCTTCAGTGCCGAGAACATGAGTGCCTCCTCTCAGGCCTTGTCACCCAGTGAGAAAGTGATGCTTGCCGAGTTGTTAGCCCGTGCCCATGGAGTTGATGATGAGCCCGAAGTTCCTACGCCTACGAGCTTTGCAGTGATTGAGGAAGAAGCCTTCCATGGAATGGGGGAAGCAGCCAAGCGTCGCACAGATGAACCCACTGGCGAGTCTGAGTTGAAGCGCAGTTATGTCGCAAAGATCAAGAATGAGGTGGTTGGACACACACCCAAGGGCAAGCCCATTATCTTGCCCCAGGGAGTGAATGATCTTGCGTCGTGGGGACGCACCATCATCATGTTTGGCAAGTTTGCTGCGAAGAAGGGAGCCACAGAGATCACATACACGGAGGTGTTTGATTCCAAGAATGCGGAGGATATTCGCTATGTGCGTTGGGCCAAAGGACAAGTGGAATCAGCCAGTGGCCATCTTCTTGATCTCTCCCTCTACTTTCTTGCCCGTGAGTCGCATGAGAGTTTGATGCAGCAGCTGCCTATGATCCCTGGCACTGACACCGTTCGTCGTTTCAAGTGAGCTGAGAACATTGAAGATCACACAAGTTGCTGGAGCTTTCAACACTGCAAATTTGGTTCTGTGAGTGATTTATAAGGCTGGGCGCCTTTTTCCTTTTTATAGTACAGAGGAGTGTTGTTTGCCACAGCATCTTCAATCCCTTGCCAGGTCACATCATACCGTGGCCTTGGCTCAATGCCCCAAGGAACCATTCTGTTCACCGCTGTCGCAATGAGAGGTGAAAAGAGTCCGATTGTCTAGGCCAGGAGGCCAACGGTGGGAAGGGTCAGGAGACCCAAGGTTGAGAGCTCCCTACCAACATATATATATATATATACATGCCCGCAACAGATTTCTATATTCAATATGACAAAGGCATGCACATCTCATACCTGGTCGCAGGTAGCCCCGAGTCGGAAGCCTCCTGGCAGCTGATTCGGGAACCTTCGCTGGCGGCGCCCGGGCCCTCTGGGGATCCCTGGGGATGGTTTCTATTTGGGCGTAGCACTGGTTAATCAAGGCTTTATGAATCCTGGGGGAACATTACCAGCTTAGCCAAGTCTTAGCCTTCGAACTCCTGGAGGTGGAGTCAGATGATGTTGCAAGCGCCGTGGGACCGGTGAGCTATGTAAATCAGAAAAATGCACGCATGCGCGCGCACACACACATGCACATACACCTACTATATGATTATATATATATATGATTATATATACGTGGGTATGGATTGTGCCGCTGTTTTTCCCTTCTTTGGCACGAAGCTGCCTCTGCGGCCGAAAGTAGCATCCAGAGTCGGAACCACAGCCGTCCTGTAGCCCACCAATTCGCTCAGGTTTTCGGCCTTTTCTGTTGTGACAGTCAGGCCAGAGGGACTTGTCAGCTAAGCCTTGCAGCAATGACCATGATTCCAATGGTGTTCTTTCGCCTTTTTTTTGGCGACCGGATTGAATCCGGCTCCCAAGACTATCTTGATTTGAGATTTGACAGCGTCAAATGGACTTTGCCATCCTACGCATATGGCAAAATACCATATAGCAGCCCCGCAGAAAACGGAATTTCTACTAAAAAATAGCGGTAAATGGCTTTTGGATGTGTTTTTTTTTTGGCGGGGGTTGCTATATAATTATATGTATATATATATATATATCAATTTATATATATATATATATTAGCTAAGTCTTAGCTTAGCTGGCCTGAGAAATTTCGCCGCCCTTGGCTCCCAGCCATTCGCGCGCCGGCGTCCGTGGGGCGGGTTTCACCAAGGCAGTGGTGATTGGGATGGCCCAAAAAGTGTCGTTTTTCGGAGGATTCCTGGCAATTTTTCGACATTTTTCTGGTGCTTCAGCGGCTGCAGGTCCCAATGGCCTGGAACTGTGGCTTGTCTTTTGGCATGAAATCTCTAGACTTCAGCGACGATGGTCGCTGTGTGCCTTCTGCGTTGTACCAAGGTTTGCGGCCCAGCCTGCTCCGCCAATAGAGAGGTCTGGTGGGCCACTGGTAGATGGTTCAAGCGTAGAGTTTTCATCATTTTTCCCTTGGTGAAAGATGGTTTTTTTCTTATCCCGGAAGACCAAACATGTTTGGGGAGAAGGACTTGCTGAGCAAAACGATCTGTTTGCAATCCACTGGTTTGTATTCCCCATTATCGTGTTTCTCTTTTTTTGATCTCATTTTTTTCATCTTATATCATTATTTCATTATATTTCATTGATCCTGCCATACTATGATGGCGAGTTTAACATCGATATTTCATAATCATAGCTATATAACCATCACAACAGCAAAATCACCGCAGTTGTACCACACATCTCCCCATGTTTTGGATTGTTTTGGCCATGCTGCCATGTATGATCATCCGCTTTCGACCAGGGCCAGCCTTGGCGATTCGGAGGACGACGAAGATGACGAGGTTATCGATATCCAGCCCTTCGTGCGCCCGCGACAGGGGGGCGTCTGCGCTGAGCCTTGGGAACAGGGCTACTACAAGGAGCGACGTCCGGTGGGGATGGTGATGGGTGGGATATGGTGGGACGATGTGGGACGAATAATTATCGAAAAAGTGGGGCCCGGGCGGCCCGGGGTCTTTTGTGATGTGGTGACAGTTTGACGGCTGAGAGCGGCCAACCTCAACAAATGTAAGTGGAATCCCCACTGTTTTGGATCTTGTATGCAATCGACTAGTCGGTTGCAGCAAGGGAGGTTAAGAGGAAGCTGATGACGATTCTTCCGTCTGCCAAAATAGATTGATCCTGGTTTCCCAGCATCAGTGTTCCACCATTGACTTTGCGGTAAAAGTCATTGGGAAAAAAGACTCATGTTCATACATGCATTTCATGGACATGTATTTTTTCCAGATCATTTGCCCGTCGCGAATTTGGACCATGCCATTCTTTTCAGTCCTTCGACCCAGCCGCGGTCTGCAACTTCGCACCGTGTGCGGCAGGAGAAGCTTTGGACCAAGCACGAACATTGGGAAGTCATCCTGAGAGATGTCATGAGGTGCTCCATCGATGCTGAGATATGCTGAGATGTTTACCTTCGCGAATTTTTGGCGGACTTCACCCTCTGAAATTTGAGCGGGGATTGTAGGCCAAGGATCAGATACTAACTAAGCCATCTCGAGCTTGACCCATACCATATCAGGATATATCAGGTAGGAAAGTTCTGTCTACATGATTGGACACATTTTGTCAAGATTGAATCATGAACACCTGGAACCTAAGCCAATTTCGCGTTGAGCGCATCCCCTTCCCAGGGACGCTACCGTCTTCCGTCAGTTTGGTGACAAGGCAGGGGCTGTCAGTTGCCTGCGTTCTTTACATGATGTGACGACATCTTGAGCATTGTTTGACTCTGCCTTGCCAACGTTCGCTACCAGAGAGTGCGCTCAATTTCAATGCTCATTTTCCCACTGGCTGGGTCAATATCCCCATTCTTCTTGCATTTCTTGATTTACATGTCTCATTTTGATCAACAATTTGCGGGTGAAATGCAGGTGTTTGTTGGTTATGTCATGCCTCCCTGCCGTAGGATTTGGAACGCTTCATCCGGCCCATGGACTGCCTGGGGGGGTGGGCACATCACCAGCAACGCCAGGGACTGACACTACGATAGTCTATCGATAGTCTAGGCAGATGCGGCCCCCCAAAAGGAGATGGAGTGAGGTCAAGGGTCCTGAAGGGTTTTGATTCGTATGCCTGGAGGCATCGAGAAAACATCCATTTTATCGAAGACACCCGGCGAGGAGACACATAAACGCTACGATGGTCAAGTCTTTGCGGAAGAGGGCGAGCGTGCTGACAGTCTTTATGCCTGGAGCTAAGGGGGTCCCCTTGGGCTTCACCATCTTCACCATGCGGCAACTGCAGCAACAATTTCTCCGGGGAACTGAATTGGTATGACGAGGTGGTGCTGGAGGGAACCTTGGCCTGCTACCAAAGCCCGGGGGCTCAGGGAGCTCAGAAGGGAGCTCAGAAGGGAGCTCAGAAGGGAGCTCAGAAGGGAGCTCAGAAGGTCCCGATACGGTGACATCAAAATGTTCGTTTTTCCCGATATGATATGGATATATAAAACAATATGGTTTACACCAGACTATACTGTATACCCTGCATTGCCATTTTCATAGGGGACAGGATGGTGCGTCCATATCTACATTTCACAGATAGAATTGATAGAATCCTTACTTAAGATGCCATCATGCCATATTGGCTGGATAGATATTATTGGCGGCACACTCTTTTGCATTGTTCAACCCCACATTGCTTCATCATGATGCAAAATTTATGAACCGTTTCCACCGTCAATTGCATTCCCATTTCTAGTGGTGGCATACCTATTTGCTTGGCCTGTATATGATGACCTATCAACTTTTTCAACAATCATGAGAATAGATAAACATAGATATAACTTACAAACCACTGATAAAGATCTTTGAGCAGAAAACTCCATCAATCCAAAAAAACATATGTGGTTTCTCTAGCTAAGCTCACATTTTGCCATCCATGCCGGTGATTTTCAGGTGGAAAGGCCGAGCCTGTGGCCAGGAAAACTCAGAGCGCGCTGGTTGATGAGGCACCAGAGTTTCATCCGGTTAAACCACCATTGGTCCCCCAAAACCACTGGGAGCTTGGTGGTTTCAGGTCACTGAAACCAATGATCCACTGGAGATTTTTGGAAGTCGCATCTCCAGTGGATCATAGTGGTGGATCTATACTAATCTATACATATCCATACTGCCTGAAAATGGGACATGTTAAAAAAAAATGCAAAAATCAATGTGCCTACGTTTGGGCCACAAAATCCTACATTATTTTTTAAATACCCAGTATAATTTCCTGTGAAGACTCTTCCAGACGTCCTTGACCAGCCAGGCTGCAGTTCTCTTCGCATACCCGCGGAGACATACCATGAAGGCGGGAAATCTAAGTTTCGGAAGGATTTTCAGGTTTTGAAAGCAGGGATCTGTGAGCCAAATGGAACATGGCAGATCCTTTTCGAGAGGGTGCAAGTGCTGGGTAAAACTTGGTTTTGGTAGTAAAAATCAGTTCAATTCAGACAGTCTAATCCCACTTAGCAAGTGCTTAATAACCATATTTAATGTATAACCCAGCTGTTCAGCTAAAAACAGGTGATTTTTGGGTCACTTTTTGGCCTGGCTCAGCCAGTGGTTTCACCCTGCACCTGTGCAAGGCAGAAGGCGAGTGCATCATCGCCAAGCTCACCCACAGTGAATATGCCTCTCAGTTTGATTTTTCGGAAGTCCAAGCAGTTTTTCAGAAGAGAAATCCTATGAAAACCCTATGACAACTTTATCAAAACCCATTTAAATCTCAGTTCAATGGAAACCCCAGAACGTCTCTACAGATTTTCTGAGTGATTCAGGGGGGTGAGGATGTGAAGATGATGGATGTTGCTTCGAGGGCTGGGCTTCAGCCGGGGTTTCCGGCTTTTCAGCACTTCCCATACTCCACGAGATTTTGTGAATCATCGTGACAATGGTTTGAATAATGTTTGATTTCTTTGATTTGTAGGCTATTAGGTGCTGATTTCAACATATTTCAACCTATCAAAACGGATTTCAGATGGCTGACAAAAGCAGCAATAGTCAGCCAGTCAGCATTTGTCAGCGACCACCGGTCATTCCAAATCAGCAAGTGGTGCCCACATCGTGGCATCATTGCATTGTGGCAAGACTGCAGGTTTCACATGTTCAACTATGTTCAACTGATGATCATTAATTCAAAATGGCAGATTTAGGCATCACATAAATGCTCACAGGGAACTATGATGGGCAAATCCATAGCAAGTAAGAATTGTTGGCGAAACCTGCACATATGGATGCAGATATGGACACAATTGGGCACTCATAGTAGGTCTAGGTCTGAATACTTTCTCTGTAAGAAGGGTTTGTTGCGAGCGGACCATGGGTTTTCCGCTCGAACAACTGCTGATGTTTCTTGCATCTTCAAGGACCTGACAAAGGATGGCAACACTCATGGGTTTTCTTTCTCTTTTCATTATCCCCAAATTTGTGGCTGAACTCCCATTTAAGTCTCTAATTTCGCTGGTTTAAGTTTGATTTATGAATCTCCATTGTTCCCGCTTATTTCCTGTTTTTGCTGCTTACATCCTCAGTCTTCTCGATTAAATCCTCATTCTTGCAGCTAACCCTCCCAATTCTTGCGGCTCAGAATCTTGCTTATCTGTTGGCCTTGTTGATTAAGTTCCCATTCTTGTCATTTAACCTTCCAAAGCTTGTTAGCTACTTGGTGAACATACAGTTCAGCACAGTAAGTAGATTAACTGTTAGGTTTATTATTTATGGTCATGAAATAACCACAGTTAGATGATGTTAGATGATGAAATACCTTACCCTCTGGTATTTTAACAGTTCGCCATGGAAAGATCCACCATGCTATTAAGTTCGGTAAACCATCTATTTCTATGGGCCATCTATACCATGGCTATGTTAGTCATAACCAGAGGCTATTTTTTTGGTGGGTGAAACCACCGAATCTCAGCTGAATCACATCTCCGAGGTGACTCTGTGCACGCGCATGGCCTTCCGAGCGCGATCCAGGCTGGGCGAAGAAGTGGTGGTCATCTTTCTAAAAAAGCTATAGGGGAGCCACGAAAACTTGATACTATGTAATGATGGCAATAACTAAGTGTCATAAATCAATGATGGCAATAACTAAGTGTCATAAATGATTAGTAATATATAACATCTAATAAGCCAAGACGAACAATTGCCGCCAATTCTCTGTTCCAGAGGGGTTATTGGATGTTATTCCCATTTGGCCAGCGATTTACCATTGGACATTTGGCCACAAAACCTCTTTTTAGCGCCAAGGTACAAGCACATGTTGAAGAATTCGAAGATGCTTCCCAGCTGCACCAAAACTGCCATGAGGGGCGGCCATAGCATGGCGGGGAAACCCCATGGTTTCCCCAAGGCGGCTGAGCGGCTGACTGGTTGGAGTCAGTTGTGCTAAGGCTGGAGATGATGGAAGACGAGGCTCCTCCTGTCGCCGTAAAAATAGGTCCGGAATGTTGAAGGGTAGAAGTCCATGGCAAAAGACGAATCTGAAGAATCGGGGCAGCCACGAAGATGACTTGATTTCGGGTGGCTGAACTGTATCTTTGTTCGGCCAGGCGGGCCATGTGACAAATTAGTATGTATAATGGTATATACTGGTTGGTGGTTTCACGCATTTTTATTTTCCATTTCATATATGGGATGTCATCCTTCCCATTGACTTTCATATTTTCAAGTTAAAACATGTTAAAACCACCAACCAGTACAATGGTGCAACATTTTCCTAATCTTTTGCTGCCACTGCCCGTGCTGTTGAGGCGTTAGAGAAGCTTTGCGATGCCTTCACTCTCCGCAGGCCAGTTGTTGGGAACCGAAGGACACCCCAACTGTCGCGCAACAATAGGGACTTACTGAGGGCGGTCAATAACCCATTTTTGTGGTGACTTTTTTGGGGCACCGTTAGATTTCCATGAGCCAAGCTTGAGGTGGGTGTTGGGAAGGCTTGAGGAATCCGACTTTTAAGCTCTATGGGCTTGAGGGCTTTCAATTGATTGGAGATCTGTGAATGTCCTGTGGATGCTTAAGTTCAGAGCTGCAAGAATTTGAGTTGTATCTCACCTGCAGCATGCATGAAGGGTGTAGGGTATTGATTTTCAATGTATTTTGCCCACATACCATGAAGGAATGACCTGCGTCATTTGCCTTCCACACTGCATGTCTGCAGGTATCGGCCAGGTGATGACATTGTGGTGCAGGGCGAGCAAGGTCTGGTTGAAGGGTGCTGTCATGGGGGGTTGCAGCGGTGATGTCAGGTCAGGTGGTGAGACACCATGAGTTGTCCAGAGATCAAAAGCATAGCCTCAGACTAAAGCGACATTGCAGCCGTTCAAAGTTGACAGAGATATGTGAGATATGTCCCAACAAAGGGCGGTTGAGTGATAGGCACGTATTCGATATGAATCGGCGGAGAAAAAAGATAATAATTCCTCCAGGTTTTATAGATTTTGGCCTCATGTTGTTACGGGCCACGTCACTGCGTACCACACAATGGTATGGCATGGTCATTTCTAGCACCAACCACACCTAGTGGCTGAATGCGAGACCTGCCTGTGTGCAAGATTCCGAAACCCCCAAAGTCTTAAAACATGGGCAGATAAGCATCCCCCATCCAGAATCAAGTAGACTCACTCTTCTATTCATATTTTTGGGACGTTCACAAGGGGTTGCTTGGACCGGTTTGACCCATCCCCGTCAAACTTGACTCCAGGTGCCGAATTTTATTTGATCACCTCTGGCACTGCCCGTGTTTGGGTGAGAAGTGGCGACGACGAGCAGGAGTACGTGAGGACCTCAGAGTAGCTCAAGAGCATGCAATTGACTTAGAGGCTGGACACATGGCATAGCTGATTTCATGTGTGGTGCATCTTGTATTACTGACAGCCCAAGCCTGTTGCTCAACTCAACCTCATGTTTGGTTGCCTATCAGACAGGTGCCGCAGTTTCCACCGCATTTTTGGATGGTTCATATCCATATTCGACATGTGACACGTGTTTAAACGATCCCATTTTTGATGGGTAAATCCCCATGTTTGATGGGCCGACAACCACCTTTTTTTGACGAGTAAGCCGCACGTCTTGTTGCTTAAACATGCTTTAACCGCACTTTTTTCATGGTCAACATTCCCATGTTGGATGGTTTAATCATGTTAACCCTCAATTTTCTGGGAGAATGCATCATTTACAGATCATTTTCCCATTAAAGCTTAAAACGGGAATTTCTAGCAAATTTCCATGGGGATTTCCCATTGCCATCTTTCCCCAGGGCCATCTTTCCCCAGGTGCGTTTGCATGCGGGGAACCTCTTTGGCGAGCGCGCCCTGCTGAAGAATGAGCCCCGCGCGGCCTCGGTCACGGCCGTCACCGAGGCGGGACCATGTTGGAGCATGGGGGTAGCCTGCCATTTGGGGACCATGATGTAACCCATAAAAAAGGGTGATTGGATGTGATTGGTACCCTCTGGTAATTTAACATAACTATGGACAATCACCATTTTTACTGGGAAAATCCACTATAAATGGCCATTTTCAATAGCTATGTTAGTTTACCAGAGGGTAATATTGGTAGCCCAACATTTTCAACATCCCTATGGGATCCTATGGGTTTTTCACCAATGCCCAGGTGGAAGTCCTGGTGCTGAGCCGCGGAAAATTCGAGCGCTTGCTCGGCTCGATGGATGATCTGCAGCAGCACGGGGGCCCAGCCTCGCCGTGATAGCCAGTGGCACATGGCTACTGCCTTGGGACCAAAAGGATACAAGGCTTCTATGATGTTCGATGTGAGAGCTCCGGAAAAATCTTTTGCAGTGGTTCCCCACGATTCTCTAATTTTGATGGACATTTTCTTTTCTAGACCTTTCTTTATTGTTTTTTTGGGGATCACATGATCACTGTTTTTTTTTGGTATCATAATCCCAGATTCAGATCCCTAACATGCATGCTGAGGCAGCAATATCTCACCGATCCTCGAAAGCTCATTGCAGACTTCTACCAGGTCCAGACAGTTTTGAACCTGGTCATATGCATCATGTGGCCCAATTTTCTGCCAGTTTAGGATGTTTAGGACGTGACAGTTTTTTGGGGTTTTGGGGAATTCAGCTTGGAAAATGCCGTGGCGGCATTCACTGCCGCCCTGAAAATAGAACAGACCTGGTATGCCACAGAGAGAGGTCAATACTTCCTGGACAAATGGTGGCCTAACCCATCCTTCATTGCTGCCATTTGCTGGATGTTGCTTGTTTTCAATACTTACTAGTGTTATGTTACTGGGTATGGATATGTGTTGGTCAATCCCAATCTTCAGTTGCACGGTGCTGTTGATCTTCCTTCCTTTCTGATAGGCGATCCTACTTTTTTGTTTGTTAAATTCCAATTGTTGCTCTCTTGATTGAATCCCAATTCCAATGGCTTAAATCTGCTATTTTGGCTTGTTGGAATCCCAAATGTTAGGCAGTGAACTTGCCGTTTCTGTTTGCATCCCCATTTCTCATAGAATTGGATGATGGGAAAATTTACAAGAAACCCTTATATTTGATGGTAAAAACCATGGTTTCCTGTAGATTTTCCCTCAAACCAATCCATTGAATTTCTGTATGTTGAATCCGTTGGAATCCCCGATTGAACTGCGGTGTCAGAACGGCGACAGCCGCGGCCCCTCGGGTTCGCTGATGCGGCACAAGATGACGGGCACGGAGGGTTGCCTGGCGGCCAGTGGCAGATCAGATGCAACGGAAAAGATGGAAACGTGTCTGGAGGATACCATCTGGTAATGACTAACATAGCTATTGAAAATGGATTTATCCATTAAAAATGGTGATTTTCCATAGTTATGTTAGTTTACCAGAGGGTAAATGATCCTGATTGTGTCCAACTTCTCTATCTATTTCGGGGTTGCTTAGCAACCGGGGTTGCTCTAGTTCGTATCTAAGCACTGCAGATACGATCCCACAGTAGCATATGGCTTTGGCATATCTGGAGATGGGTGGGAACCATTTTTTGTTGGGATGAACATTCGGTGCCAGGGATTTGACCCATGGTCACAGATGATATGTATTTAAATTATATATGTGATTATCTTTTTAAGCACTTATATTATGTATAGCTGATAAACGGTATTTATGTAGTATACTATCTATCATCTATAGTTAGTGACTGTATCTATAAGCATCTATATCTAGGTATTCATCTATTCAAACTACTCGTCAATGCAATTACTCAATTAGTTACTGACTTATTCTTAGCAGTATTGCTTGATTTTGAAATCTCTACACACTTCGGAGCCCGCACAGATGGGGATGATATCCAGCAACCATGGGACTTCAACAACAGATGGCCAAGATTTGAAGCTGCTGGATTGGCGGATCATCTGCAATAGTCCCATCTTTGGGTTACCTCAACTTCCCCTTTTAAAGAGCATGCTCAACTTAGAGTCTCAAAAGGATTTTGCACCCTCATTTGTCAACCAACAAATCAATACACATCAAAAGCAATCAATATAAACCAATAGAAGTCAATCAAATCAATGTGCAAATCAAAATGCAAATCAATAGAACTTGTTGCAAATCGACCATGTAGGACTGCAGGATCGTTGGGCATCCTTTGACCCACTGAGGTGTAGAGACGCAGTGGTTCGTCGTGTACCGACCCACCAGCAAGGAGCCACACTGCTTGGATCGGCATGAAATTATCATACCGAGAGACAGCCCATTTATCAATGACTTACGAGGGATCTCAAAAACCTTAACGCACCAATTCGGGTTTACAATGGCTTACATTTTATCAGACTTGCCACACGAATCGGCAAAACATATGACACATAGATAGATTCGTTTGCCCAGCCCCCAAATGGGGGAGTTCACCATCAATTATGTTTGACAACTCTGATCAGATCTGATCAGTACGTTCCTTGATTTCCAGGCTTGTCCCACTCAGAATTGGATGAATTGGAGTAACTCACCATATCTCACCATGGTCAGTAAATTCAGTGACCACAGCCAGCTATGGATTCCTGAACCACCATATATATATATAGATTTATCACTAATCATGATATATCATCCATAGATTTATAGCTATATCATCTATATCCAGGGTTTATCACTGATCACACCATTTTGGGGATGGTTTATTATTGTTTTAAAAAAACACCTCCAACTGAGTCAGACAATCCAGGTTCCGGGGGCGTCTGCAGTGCCGCCAGTGCCTCTGCGCCATCAGGATGCCATCGCAAAGATGCTGTCCGGTGCGGCGGTGGGAAAGGGCCTGAACGCACCTTGGCCGCCAAGTCATCGGGTAGCCATGGAACATCATCATTTAAAAAATTGAGGTAAATTACTGGGTAAATTATAACGACCTCACTACGACCTCACTGGAATCATGGTTTATAAGGGAAATCATCCCCAAATGGGCCTTAATTCAGATTAGTGAATTATTATAATTTGCCCAGAAATTATCATAAATCACCAATAAACGGGCCATTTTGCATAGCTATCTTAATTAACCAGAGGATACTATTTTTGAAGGTGTTCCATCTTCAAAAGAAAATTGGGGAAATGGCTGGGGCGATAGTTGTGCTGCTGCTTCGGAAACCTGCTCTCCCACCACTGGCACCCGAGGTCAAAGGAAAATCAGCCAAGAAAGGTGTGCTGTCCGGCTTCGTTCCATTTGTGCAGATCCTTTGCTGCAAAAACATGCAACACCTATAGTAATTGGTAATTACAAAGAACATACAAAGAACTCTCTCCAAACTGGCTGGGGAATGGTGTGTTGTCCTCTTGGATCGTTCAAATGGCGCCGCGGATAAGGATCAGCGAGAATGCACACAAGTCGGTCATTGAAGATTCGCCCCCAGATTCCAGGATTGTCGTGTGCCTTGTCCCCAAAATCTGTCATCACGCCATGGTGGGTGTGGGCAAGGGCAGGCTTCTATTTCAGCAGCAACGTTGCCATAGTAGCCATAGTAACATACGATTTTTCATGATGCCTGTCACCGATAGAATCCGAGAATCTCCGATAGACACAAATGCCTGAAAGATACTGACAGCTTACATTTGGAACAACAGCTACTTGGGTAAAATACCCATATTGGGGTCATGGTGGTCGGTCATCAATCCATTCATATTCATAGAAAGTGATACACCGAGCAGTTCAGAATTGGCATCATGGCATGGACGCAGATGCGCAGATGACCCTGGAAGCCAGGTATTACAAGACCAAAGCTGCAAGGGAAGAAGCTCGGAAGGCGCTGCTTGGGCCCGGCCTAGGGATCCCATGATATCCCATGACTGCTGCAGATGACCGGCACTTGGGGATGCAGTTGGAGTCACAATTGGGGAAATAACATGAACATAAACATGATAGGGCAGCATAGCTATAGGGCCCCAAATCCAAACTATATGGGAGTTAAGATCCTATGGTTAGACAGGGTTAGACCTATGCTTCCGAAATCTATGGGGCAGAAGCACATATATAGAACCATGACGCTGGGGGTGGCAGGCCTTGCAAGCTGTTCTGGACACGGCCACGACCCTGAAGATTGAGACGAGAACGATTGTCGACGAGGAATGCCTGCTGAAGTGGTGTAGTTGTTGTGTTAATTCTAAACTATAACAGCCCCCCAACAGATTCCGAACTGCTGAACAGAGTTTCCAGGACGGTATTGATAATGCTTCTCCCATGCAAGTGTTCTACCTATTATATTTGCTGTGTGCGACATGTTTTGTCGAGTTTTTCCAGCTTTCTTTTTTAATGGTTTCGTGGATTCAGTGCAGTGTTACCCATGTTACCCAACTTCCGTGCAGTGTTACCGAACTTGGAGGTCAGGGTGATTTACAATGAAACGATTTATTTTAATCTTTGAAGTCTTAGTGTTACTCTCCATGGCTGTTGTGTGCTCATAATACGACTGCGTTTCTGCCATGTTTTTGGACAGATCCATACAGTGTACAGGAACAGGTGGTAGCCTGGTAGCATGGCTGGTAACCACAAGGATTCATGGCAAGTTGTCCTGGCCGCCCCTGGCAGGACTCTTACAAACCTGATGTGCCACCTGGCTGATGGCATCTGATGGCGTGGGATGTAGATTCTCATGTGCAGAAGTCAAGATGAGGCACTCCATGGCACTCCCAAAATTTGGATCCCAAATGATCCCAAATGAACATGACAAATTATTGAAAATTAAGCACAACTGGAGACATTTTGGTGGATCCCTCTCCAAGTACCACAATTTGGATCTACCTTTCGACATACCGCCGAGGTGGGGATTGGAGATGCCCGAGCCGCTCATGCGTGAGGCGGGGAAAGTAGACAGGGAGGTAAGCAGCAGTTTACTACAACTAGACTGGTACTGTATCACTGTCAGTTTTATATTTTGTAAATAGATGCATTATTAATTGCCATTGTTCTCATATCATTGTTCTTTAGGAAATATCACTAGGTCACTAGGCTTATTATTCCTCATTACGACAATGTTTTACGCTGTCTACTAGCGAAACATAGAACGCAAACCAACACACGACATGAGACCGATAGTGGGATTGATGGATGAACATGACAAAAGAGAATCTCACCATGACACATCAGGTCCTAGTCGTTTTTGGGATGTCTAAACCTGATCCGGCCACTCCGACCCACTCCTCTTCGCTCCTAAAATGGGTCCTTGTGAGGGATACATTATCCAGAAAGACATTTCACCTGCTCCTTGGCACATTTTGGGAGGGTGAGAACTGGGGGGATGTCGTGGTTGGACCCGCAACCAGGTTTGGACTGTGCCATGTTTGGAACAAACATGAGCTAAAGGGTAGGGTAATGATATGAGTGGAACTGGGGCTGCATCTTTACTAGTGGATCACTAGGCGGCAAAGCGGGTTTCTGCGGTAACTCATCTCTTTAGATTTAGAATTGTGTAGATCGATTTTTTCAGGGCATATTCCTTGTTACGCAGCCGACCTCAAGTGGCAGTCCGTTTTGCCTCCCATATGTTGGTTGGTTCGTATGCCCCTTGGTCCCTTGGATCTGCAGCCAGAATTTGTGGGAAATACTCTGAGGTCATGGGTTGGGAGACGGGACGCAGATCCGAGCCAGCCTTCATGGACATGAATCTGTGTCTTGGCACCAGATCTATGGTGAATTTGAGGATGTTGAAGTTCAAGGGTACGTATATACATCAGAGCCATTTCTTTCAGGTTGGTTCTCATTTGAGTGGCCTTCACAAAAGTTGGGATACTAGGGAAGTGCGAACTAGACGGAACATGGGGACTATACTTTTTTTAAAAATTTTATTTTTAATGGGATCAGCTAAAATGACATAGAAGATATAGGACAGTTGTGGAACATTTCTTGGCCGGTTGCACGATGAAACCAGGGCTTCCGCAACGGAGCCCCAGGCATGCAATCCGCGGCAAGTCGGATCCACAGGCGCGAAAGGGAAAACGTTCGATAGCAGAAATCAACGATGAAACCTGGAAAAGTGGACCTTTCCAAGATCATTTCCATTTGGATCTGTTGGAATCTCTTGGAGATTGACATATATATATACACACACACATATATATATATAAATATAATATTATAGTATATTACTATATATATATAATATTACAAAAATTATATGCATAATAATATGTGTATGTGTTAGCCATTGGCCATTGCTGTCCCCCTTTTTCACTGATTGAAGTGTCAATTTTATCCAGTTCTTCAACGCGGTGTCGCACCTCTGGGACGACAGCGCCAGGTGGTCCTGTACCAGAACGATGAAGCTGATATCATGCTGCTTGGATGGTGGTACCCAGTGGTACCCAGTGCTACCCGGTATCCCAGGAAAGGACACCTATGATTAAACACTCCGGACACCATGTTTTAGTAGGAGATGTATCCATATTTGGGATATGAAAGGATATATATATATATATGTATACTTACATAGCGCATTTAATATTAGGGGGATGGGATTGGAAGTGGAAAGCAGATTCCCCTTTCATGTGAGGCACAAATCTTTCTGTTTAGCGGGAGTGACATGAAATTGACGATGTTCTATGCTGTGGATTTTGGTAGGATATGTTCAAGAAATGTGTCCACGCCCCTGTTCAAACGATTTCACATGCAATGCTCGATGCTCTGAGCTTTCCTGGAGAAAGTATCTAAGTAGACACACACACACACACACGTATAGATTACATATGATTAGATTATATATATATATTTATCATTTTATTTTATAGACACACGGCACACGGAATACACACACACACATATATAATTATATATTGTATGCATGTTTTCTCAAGTACCCAGACACACATACACACGCATATATATATATATATTATAGATGTGCAGAGATATTATTTTGTTGATACTCTTTTATTTTTGAAACACATTTATTTATTAGCCCACGCGCTACACTGAGGAACCCCAGAGGTCTCCTCATTGCCTATGCAGAGGTCTTTGTGAAGCCAGCACCTTGCCACAAGTGACCGGCAGGTGAGGGGCTTTTCATGGTGATTCAATGGAGATTTAATGGGAATATCATGGAAATATCATGGGATATATTATATATATATGATATATGATGTACATTATAATCAACAATCTGATAGTTTCAATCCGTACTTCAGCTTCGGTATGTGTTTAGAGTTGGGACCCAGAGGCTTGGTATTTTTGTTTTGGTTTGATCTCTCACTTACACAGCTTGGGCAGTCCCACTTAGACCCATCTTCCTGCCCCATCTGGGCCTGTCCTGAGGTGGTCTCCGATTTCGACACCTTCACCGTGGGCTCCAAAAACATGGTCTATGAGTCCTTGCCGTCTGAGCAGGTAGGACGGGGTGATTGATTGGAGCACGGCCGGTGCCACTGCACCCGAGAACAAACATGAGCCCCATGTAGTTATACACTTTCTTAAATATCAGAATTGGATTTCCCCGAAGAGGTATTTCCGATTTTTCTTTGGGTTAGCGGAATCTTCGAGAAGGCGATGGAAGGAGAGAGAGAGAGAGAGGCCTAGCTTATGAAGGTTTGGTGATTTATCCATTGGTTTCCCACCAGCCAAGGCCCGCTTGCATGTTTCTTTTTGGGGTGTGGCCTGCCATCATTCAACTGCAATCCTGAATTGCCTTCACCGTCTTTTTTTGGTCGCACGGAAGTGGACCCGCTGCTCCAACTTTGAGAAATACCATTAAATAACCCGTGGTCACTGACTGGCAGTTTCAAAGATTCTTTCTTTCCATCTCTATCTGGAGGGAAGGCATTCATTTCTAGCGGGTCAGCACTTCAGGCTAAAAAGACAATTATATAACGATTGGACCGCTATAGAATAGAATCTCGTTATCTGAAGAAAGATGGTGGTTGAAGGATGTGAAATGATGTGAAACGTAAATCCGAAATAAACCCAATAGAATAGGTGGATCCAGTACCCTCTGGTAAACGTTTACATAACTATGGAAAATCACCATGTTCAATGGGAAATTCCACTATAAATGGTCATTTTCAATAGCTATGTTAGTCATTACCAGAGGGTACTTTCTATATCTACGATTGCCAGGCCGAGTTGATCCTCTGGATGTTGGAACATACCGAGGCACGGCGGACACCTCCGCATTTTAAGTTGGATCGTTTAAGGCCGCACCTCCTGCGGCCGCAAGGGGTTTGACTTGCCCTTTGCCACCCTATCCTATTGATATCTATTGTCAGTGGAATGGTTCAAGGGAAAATCTACAGGAAACCATCGATTTTCCATGATTTTCCTATGAAATATGGGGTTTTCCTGTCAATTATCCCTTAAACCAATCCATTGATATTGATCAAAAGCACCAATGGATTCATTTGCCACTCCATCCGTGACAAAAGATACAACAGAGCCCAGCTCCACATCGCCATCCGCTCCGCTGCAACCACGTTGCTCGCGTGACCAGGGCATCCTGAAGTCCTTGGATCATCAGAGCTGGAACTCACGGTGGTTGGAGGTTTTAGCCAAGGAGAATGAGAGGGGTTTCCACCCCACGATGCTTGGCAGGTTGTCCACATGGGGCGTTCCGGTGTTGCCCCGGTGATGGAGCAGGGCTAGGGAATTTGTTGCAGGGACACTGGAGCCTGCTAAAGACCCATATGGGACATGAAAAAAGTATTCGATTGAAAGCCCGTGGCATTGATTCTGCCTCTGGGGCATCCGATGCAACCTGGCAACGGAGAATTACATTTACATCCATTTATAGACAGGGTTTCCCCATGCAAACATAGACGCTTTCCGTTACCATTTTGCTTGACAATCTCCTGATAGCTAAACAAGAGACTAGCTGTGTGCTTTGAATGGGGGATCCTAGTCTGCCTTGATGTCTTGCCCTTCAACGGGCTTGGATTGGGGAACCGCAAAACCAACTGAAATCCATGAATGTTTCTTGTTTGGAGCCAAGACACTAGTGCCCAAATTTGAGTACCCTTGCTATATTTGCTAATTTGCAGCAGCCGCACTTGCTAATCGTTGCTCGTCAATGTTTCTTATATCTCCAAGTTTCGATGGTTTCGATCTGCCAATCTCCCGTGTTGCTCTGACTTTCGTATCGCTAATCGCTTGTCTGGCATGCACATTTTCTTTGGAGGATCTCCAGATTCGTCACTGAACATATAAGTAGTTAGTCAATATCCTATAATTCTACCTCTATGTTTGCTAAATCCAAAGTTTTCATAGAATCCACCCCCACCAAAAAAAACATTGATGTGTTTCTACACACATCCCCCATTTTGTTTGGTTGATTCTTCCACTTTTCTTCCTTAATATCCAGTTTTGGGTTACAGTCGTAACAGTAGTCAGCTCCCCATTATTGTACGCTCCCAGTTCTTGTTCACTAAATCCATAGTCTTGTCAGTCCTTGTCAGTTGGATTCCCATGTCTTGTTGGCACCATAGAAACCGGTCAACTCTGTCGGGTTCTGTTGGTGAACTTCCCAATTCTTCCCTGCCATGGAGCCCCAAGGATTCCCAAGTTTGGCTTTGGCGATCCCACGTCGTGGCTCAGCACCAAGAAAGCTGAAGTGGCAATCTCAGTAGGCGACCACGAAATACCAAGAATGGTCAACCTGAACATGGATAACATAGTGGCTGATCAACTTTCTAAAAACGGTTTAAAAAAGACCGCAACTAAGCAGTATGGGATGGATATCCTGTTTTTGCTGTGATAGGGACCATGGTGTAATCCAAGCGGGGCAACCATAGCCGCCATGGCCAGCAGCAAGTGCAGAACGATTGTTGAATCTGAGGTCACTAAAAAACCTCAAGCAAATAACAATAACGAAGTTGGTTGGGCTCAAACATGTGGGACCGAGTTGGTCATTCTTTACTTATTATAGCTAATGCAATTCTGGCATAATTATTCTGGCATCAAACATTTTTTTTTAGATAATATGTGGTGAAAGCTATGTGTCCCTCAAATTCTTGATCCAGCTCGGTTTCACCATGTTTCTCCTTGATTTCTCAGGTACAAGCTCATCCAAGATGCCCCTCATCTGCAGTAACGGATCCTGGTCCATTAGTCCATCGCATCTCTTGCGTCTCGGCTTCGCCGGGCTTCACCGAGGTCATTGCGGAAACCGCGCCCTGTGGTGCGGTCCGCCATGGTGCAGAGTGCTGCAACCTCTACTTTCCGCAGGAGTTGGATGATGAATATTTGATCGTCTGGCAAGGCTTCTCAGGGAAACCCTGGGACTACAAGACCGAGGCGAAATCGCGCACATTTCACCTGCGTTCCAGTCGGGCTGGGGATGGGGGTGGCTGTAGATATTGCTCTTCTTTTGGCGATTCCTGATTTCCCTCGTGTAGAGCCGCACACCATGCATAGGCTTTCCACACATTTGAGCAGGTTTGCGCCAGTTTTGGAGTGACTGCTCTAGCGGTCTCCCAATGAAATCGCTTCCTAGATCGCTTGCCGGGATGACTTGGGAAAGTGGACTGCAGGCGGGTTTGCGCGAGTTCCTCCTTGAGCGGGTTGGGGGCTCAGAATCGAACTGGCATGCCTTTTGTTCAAGTGGATAACACTATAATTACCCTTTGGTAAACTAATATAGCTATTGAAAATTGTCATTTACAGTGAGTTTTCCTATTAAAAATGGTGATTTTCCATAGCCATGTTAGTTTATATCGTCTGTTTGGAAATGAAATTTGAGAAGTAGGATGCAGAACTTGATCTTGAACGAGTTTGATTGCTTTTCGAATTCCTGCCCATTTGTGGGTTCCAAAATGTCCTGGCAAAACATGAGCTTCAATTTCTTTGCACGGTTCAGGTTGAGGACGGCTATGTCTTTCCGCTGAATCCTGTGTGGCCTGTGCGAGACAAGGGCTGGTGGGTCACTGGTCCGCATTCGGCTGGGATTGAGCCATTTCCCCGGAGTCAACGGATGTATTTTCAAGACGATTGAGCACCCACACAAGATTGATAAACCAGGCTAAATCATGATAAACCCACTTGACTGTTGACTTGACTGGTATTGATTTGGATGGGTTGCCACACTTTTTTTTGGGGATCACGGCGGTTGGAACCATCAGCACCAAGGAGATCTTGCAAGCCATGCTGAAGCAGGAAGAAGCCAAGCCGCTTGGCCAGGGAGGTGCTACCTAAGTTGGCGAAGCCAGCAGCCATGCACCAAAAGATATTCGGAAACTCCATTTTAGATTAGCAAAAAAAACTTCCAGGAGTCGCTTTCCGCTTGGTAACCTCAGGTAGGGTATAGAACATGATTCTTATCATTTCTTACCTGCGCATGACATTCAAAAGATTCAAAACTGCACATGCCCTCTGGACCACTGGCAATAGAAGAGAGCATGGGGCCGGTTGCTCATGGTCATTTCCATGGGTCTCCAGTTGTACAGAAATCATACAGCATACCTCCAGGTTGATCTGGGCCCCAAAGATCCCCGCACCCAGGAAGTGCTTGCAGTCCTGGCTCCCGCCGGAGATCAAATATCTGGATCCTTGGGCGTGGATGGACAGGAAACCCTTTTGATCTTGAGGAGCGTAAGTTATACATGCAATCTATTTAATCTAATTTGTGACTTATCATGCGCATGTATTATTGTTTCATATAGTTAGTTTGATTTGATTTGATTTGATGTGGATCCAGTTGTAACAGGGACGCACCAAAAAACAGTATGATAAGTGGTCGGATGAACTGCCCTTTTCTTTTCCAGACCTGTAGTGAATCAACGATTTTTGATAGTTGTACACGCCCATGCATTTGGGCTGGACACACAATGTCGTGACCATAAGGATAGAGCACAGCAGCTGCACGACAAATACAAAGATGGCTTCATGATCGTGCAAAAGTAGGCAATGCTACTTGGCTGCGATAGCTTTGCAGGTGTCTGGGGACCTTGGCTGACCAGAAAAAACCGGAGTGTTTTCCAGTGGATGGACACACATCGATGACGGCGAGCTGCGGATAAAAACATCATCGGAACAAGAACTGATGACGCTGGACTCCTGGACTTTCCAGCCATATGGCTGGGCACAATTTTGTCATTATTGGTGATCTATGCTGATCTCTTGAACCCTCAGTCTATCCCATTGATGGCTAAGGCACCTGCACATTGCGCGCGAACACTTAATTACAATCGCGTTTCACTGTTGTATCGAACAATCGCTTTGTACAAGCAAAGCTGCACTGCTTTGTGGTCGCACTCCCAGCATTCCGACAACAACCACTAAGCTTCAATGGATGTAGAATGATGTAGATCTATCATATCAATGTAACTATGTAACAACAATATGCAACTATTGCTTCATCCATGTCTCAAGGTTCCCTCTGAATAGAATGAAGTGTTACCGGCCTGTGGGCACCCAAATTAACCCTAGCACTTCAAACCGTCGGATGATGGGGGACGGCCGCGGCCCAAAACGACCAGCGAAGCTGGTGGGGCTCGCGAACGATGGCAGCGGTGCCCGAAAAAAACCTGTCCGGCGCAGGCACCCAGAGTTATTTGCGTGAAAAAGATGCAACTTGGGCTGGTGATGATTTGGTGTGGGATAGCTGACCTTGAGTCATCCTAATCTCTAGACAATTCATCACTCAGGGATTCCCGAGGAACATCGATGAACAGATGCCACTTGCATGCACTCGCCAAGTTTTTCATGTTCATCGCTGGTGTTCTTCACTACCCTGCCGGTAATTTTCTTCACAAGTCTTACGGCGTAATCCACATGTCCCATCCCTCTTGTCAGCTACCGTACATGACTTTCAGGAATTAATCAACTCAAATCCGCTAGCCATACGTAGATGCCAGCACCCTCCCAAAACAGCGCCCACATGTAGTTACGGATGTGCGCTTAGAAAGAGGCTGACAGAGAGAGAGAGAGAGAGACACACACACACACATACACACCTTCCCTCTCTCTCTCTCTCTTTCTTTCTTTCTCTCTCTCTCTCTCTCTGTCTCTCTCTGTCTCTCTCTGTCTCTCTCTGTCTCTCTCTGTCTCTCTCTCTCTCTCTATGCGTGTATATATATATATATATATCATATATATATATATTACATATTGTATCCATAAAATGCCATAAATATATCTTTGATGTTAACGTTTGTTCTATATGTGAATTTCATTCCGAAGAGCTTTGCATGTCATTTTGTGCTTTTGACCATTGCGTTGAACATTCATCAACCACCCGCTGACCTTTTGATGTTTCAGCGGGCCCCTTGAGCGATCTTTCACTTTGCCATGACTTTGGCGTGCAAAACAGATTGCAGCAGCGTTTGCACTCGCATGTTTATTTGATCTTTTGCTCTGCAACAGTGTCGCATCACGAGTTGGTAGAGCGGAGCCCCGATCTGGGGCAGACGCACAAATCGAGAAGTATGCCTTCATACTCCAAGATGAAACAGGAGCTCGCAGGCTCAGCAGATCATGCAGCCCAATACGCTCATTCAGTTGAAAGCTTTGACATCTATACAGAATTGGATGATTATCTGTTTGACAATTCAGTTGATTTTGGAAATCCTGAGGACGATAATCCTGATTTGACGAACAGATCAACAGCTGGCAACTTGTGGGAATGTTTACGTTGTGGCAACCGTGTTTTTAGCTGGGACAATGCCTCAAATGATTGGCATTGCAATGCGTGTTTCTCCTATGAATACTTTGACCCAACCTTGCCTGCCAAGAAGCAGACTGCGGGCGGTACCTGGGTTTTCATGCCTAGAGGCTCTTCAGAGCCTCCCCAGGTCCCACCTTCAAGTGCTGCTTCACGACGTCGACATCGAGCGAGACGACGTCGACGCGTTGGCGGCTCGAATCCTGGGGACCCCGATGATGGGGATGATGGCCGTGAGTGGGCCGAGTCAGAAGTTCCAACCTTAGATCCACCGATGGATGTGACCCCTGCAGGCTCAAACGTCGCAAACAATCGTGGAAACCACCAAAATGGCGGCGATCCGATTGCAGCGCTGACAGATGCTTTGAGACAGTTGACGCGTGACAATGACCGCGGACGTGGTCCATCGACATCAACGGATTCTTGGGTGAGTGCCATGGGTCCTCAGCGAGGTGTGAAATTTCAGGGCGGAGCACCACCTGTTCCCCCGTCATGGTCTTATAATTCATCAGACTTGCGTGCATACGAGAAGTTCGAGGAGAAGGTCCGAATCTGGGCATTACATGCTAAGCATTTCATGACAGACTCGGAAGCAGCTCTCACCTTGTACACATCTCTGAAAGGCGAAGCAGAACAGGAATTGGAGTTTGTAGACATCAATACCATCTATCACAAAGACGGTGTCGACACAATTCTGAATCATCTCAAGCAGGCTTTTCAGCAGAAGACAGTGTACATTAAACGACAATACCTTCATGACTATGAGACGATTGGACGTTGGCCAGGCGAAACCCTGAGGACGTTCATCAACAGGTACAGACGCGTGGAGTCCTCTCTGCGTGCAATCGGGGTAGACATCTGCCTGACCTACGACGATGAAAGCCGTGGTTCCAGGTTGCTTGACAGATCACGTTTGACACTTGAGCAACAGCGCTTGGTGCTTGTGGGAACAAATCAATCCTTGTCATTTGAATCAGTGCGTGCGGCATTGATGCTGCAATATCCAGAGCATAAACCTTCACCTGCAGTTGCTGGTCGAGATGCCTCAACAGCGCCCTTTCAGACGAAGGGGAACTCTGGCAAAGGCTCTTCATCATCCAGTTCCAGTTCGAACAGCCCGTCTGTAGCCAATGGAAAAGGCAAGGGCAAGGACAAAGGATACAAGCGGGTCTATCAGACTGAGACCATTCCTGAGGAAGCTCCTGAGGATGACGCTGGAGATGAGCCTGAAGCCGATCAGGAGGCAGAAGACGATGGCAACATCCCTGAGCAGGATGCTCAGGACAACGAAGATGCCGATGTGGATGACGGCGACATGGATGTGGCGCATCTCACTGAGGTTCTCACAGTCACAGCTAGAAAGTTGGCCAGTGTCACTCAGGGTCGAAAGTTTTCTGGCCAGCCTCGCAAGAGCATCGCCGAGAAGAAGAAGACATCAATTTGTGCAGCCTGCGGACAACGCGGCCACTGGGCTGGTGATGCGGAATGTGACCAAAGTGGTTCGCAAGACGCGAAAAACAATTCCTCATCTACCTCTGCTGCCCCTAAGGGGAAAGAACGTGGCCACAAGGGCAAAGACGATGGCGCTTCGAAAAAGGTGATGACCGTCCACCACAGCACCGGGTTTGACAGCACGGTGGAATATTTACCTCATCATGCACTTTCACATCCACATTTTACAATGGTTTGCACAGCCCCTTATGTTTGCCTCTCCACAGTTTCTGGTGATACAACTGGCTACATGATCATGGATACGGCTTGTCAAAGATGCTGTTGTGGAACTCAATGGATTGCACTGCAGGCAGACAAGCTGGCATCATGGAAGCTCAAGGTCTTCGAGGAGGCCAGCCATGAACAGTTTCAATTTGGAGCAGGTGAACCGGTATTGTCAACTTTGAAAGTTTGGATGCCATCAGCAATTGAAAAGCAATGTTTGATTTTCGGTGTGAATGTTGTTGATACGAGTATTCCTTTCCTTGGCAGTCTTCGTTTGTTGAAACGTCTGGGCGGTGTGATCGATTTGATTCAGCAAGTGGTTTATTTCAGCAAACTTGATGTTACAACACCTTTGAAACGCATTGGTGGACATCTTGCGATTGATATTTTGAACTTTCCACCACAGCCCAATCGTTTGCGTGTTTGGTCACAGATTTCAGATGCTGGTTTCAATGATCCAGAAGTTGCTTCGGTGTTCAACTTGCAGCAAGTGAATTTTGATGATGATGACACCGCAACCCTGGCTCTTCCAGCAACTCGCTCTCAGCTGATGCCTTCGAGCTCTGACTGTGACCACGATGCACTACGACCCCGAGGTGAGAAAGCGCTGGAAGCATCTATGCGGAAAGCTGCTGATGCTGTCGGTAACTGCTCTTCTGCACTTCTGACAGGCAGCCCGCCTTGGGTTGATCCCCTACGACGACTACGAGAACTACCTCAAGAACCCCGAGAAAATGAAGGACAAGAAGAAGAAACCGGGCACGTCCAGTCAGCTTCACAAGCCATCGGCCACAGACACCTACCAGAACCAGCTCCAGGCTCAGTGCCCGCACAGGGAGTTCAAGCGCCACGGCAACAAGCACGGCAGTTTCGCGACATGCGTGACTTGCAAGGCCAGATGGGTGTGGGTCGGAACAGGCTGGAAGTTGCATGGATGCTCCTCCAAATCATCACTGCCTCTACCGTCTTCCTCAACAACAGTGGATGGGTCAATCCGTCCGCCAATGATGCCAGTGATGGAATTCCAAGCGGAACATCTTCCTTTGACTGGTGCCATGCCCAAGGTGCAGCCAGCACCAAACAACAAGATTGGCAAGACCAGGTCCAGGCCTCCTTCCATGACCTCTTCGGCAGCAGGACACATGAAGCCAGAAGAGATCCCAATTCAGGATCTGGAGACCTTCGATCTGGAGTCCAACTACAGCTGGCTCCTGGACGACGCAAACGACTGACTGGTGATTTGAAAAAGTCAATCAAGATCGGCGAGGCGGAAGTTTTGGTTTTGAACAACTTGCCCAATGAGAGCTCCAAGACCAATGCAGTTGACCTCCTCGAGCTCTATGCAGGCGCAGCCAAAGCAACTCTGATGGCCAAGCAGTATGGACTCAATGCATTGGAGCCCTTTGACAAGAATGAAGGAAAAGATCTTGATGATCCCGAGCAAAAACGATTGGTTGAACGAGCCATTGAACGCTTCAAACCGCTGCTCCTGATGCTGGGCTTTCCATGCACCTTTTGGTGTCTGCTGAACGAGAACTGCAACTACTCTTGGAGGATGCATGAGCTGGAAGCCCTTCGAAATGAACAACGACCTCTACTTCAATGGACTTGCTACTTGATTGAAATACAGGTGGGCCTTGGCAACTTCTTTCTCTTTGAGAGCACTCTACGTTGCCGAATCTGGGATGAACCCTGCGTCATAAAGCTTGCCCAGCTCCCAGGAGTTGTTGAAGTGCTTTGCGATGCAGGTGCTTTTGGAGCCGCCGATCGTGATGGCTTTCCCATTATCAAGACCCACAAGTTTTTGACCAACAGCCCCATTTTGGCTAGCTCACTCCATCGACGTCTTTCAGCACAAGAACGTCAGGTGTGCAAGCCTTTGGAGGGCATCAATGTGACAGGATCTCAAGAATATCCAGATGCCATGGTGCGATCAATTCTCAGAGCCTTGAAGGATCATGCCAGACAAGTGACTCCCAACCGTTTTGAATACCACAAGGTTTTCTTTGCACAGCCTTTGGATGATGCAGAAGCTTGGAAGAAACTGCTGGACGACGTCCAGAACACCTTTGCCGGCAGTGCTGTGAAATCCTTGATACTTCAACCTGGGCAAGAACTCTTATGAGAAAGTGTCCAAGTTGGTTCCTTGGGAGCTCACTCGAGTTCAAATCGTGTCCACACCAATCACCAGAAGAATGCCAAAAGATGCTGCCTTTACACATCGTGGAGCTGCGCTGCTTTACGCCGATCAATCTCTCAGCGTTGAAGCCGAAGATTTGGCCAATGTGAGGTTCCCCAAGCAGCGCTTCACCAAGGCAGTCAACGCAGCCATCCTCTTTTATGGTTTGGTTGATGATGATGGATCTGGACCACAACATCAACCTCAACTTGATGAAGCTGAAGCTCGACTCCCAGTTCCTGGCTTGAGGACAGATGTGACCTTCCCAACGGCGCCAGCCACCCTGCCGAAGGAAGTCAAGGCCTCAGTTGCGAGGTTGCACATCAACACAGGCCATGCCCACAAGAAGGAGCTGATTCGACTTTTGGCTTCTCATGGCTCAATCAACGGACCAACATTGACAGCAATTGAACACATGGTTTGTGGCTCCTGTGAGAGAACCAAGCCACCACCACCACCAAGACCGGCATCCATTCCTCATTTCAATTCATTTCATGGGTCAATTTGGTGAACGTGTTCAACTTGACATAGTATATGTACGCGATCTTTCTACAACAAATCATCCAATCCTTGGCATGGTTGACATGGCCACTTCATTGCAGCAGGCAGTTCGCCTTCACAGTCGAGCCTCTGCCCACGTCGCAGATCAATTCAGAAGAAGCTGGCTGATGCCCTATGGGTATCCCCTGGTTTGTGAGGTGGATGCAGATGGAGCCTTTGAGGGCGAGTTTCGCCTGAAACTTGAAGAAGCCGGTGTACACCTTGTGGTGATTCCTCCTGAGGCGCATTGGCGCATTGGCACAGTTGAGAGAAAGAATGCCGTGCTCAGGACTGTGGTTGAGAAACTCCTTGACGAGAATGCGGTGGTCAGTGGCGATGGACTTGACTGGGTTTTGACTGCAGCAGTTCAAGCACTCAATTCCACCACAGCGTCAAAAGGCAGAAGCCCATATCAAGCAGTTTTTGGCCGCCTTCCACGTTTTCCAGGTGATTTGATGTCTGATGACAGAGCACTTGTCGTCTCCGACAACCAGATGATCGCAGAGGAGCTTAGATGCCAAGCCTTGCGAGTCATCGATGAGACACGTGCCTCCCATGTCATCAAGCGAGCTTTGCTGAGGAAGACCAAGCCCAACAAGGATGAATCCAAACAGATTCTTCCAGGATCCTTAGCAGCTTACTGGAGATGGACAAAAAGGTCTTCTGGAAAGAAACGTGGCGGCTATGTTTTGGGCCGACTTCTTCACCATGATCCTGATGGCAAATCAGCCTGGCTACAAGCCGGCACGACCACAGTTCAGGTCACCTATGAGCAGCTGCGACCAACTTTCGGTCTGGAATCCTGGGCACCCAACATGGCTGATATCCGCGCTCTCAAGGATGCATCCGTCAACATCCAACATGGACTTTGGCGTGACCATCGCGGACCAGGACCACCGGAAGATGAACCCATGGAACCTGAGATCGCACCAGCTGCTCAAGATGAACCTATGCTGATGCTCGAACCACCCCAACTACTTGGTGAGCCACAGCCACCGCCAATACCACCAGCACCTCCTCAAGAACCACCAACACCATTTCTTCCTATGCCAGATTTTCAACATCCTCTACGTCAAGACACCATGATTTACTCACCAACATATCAACATACTCTACAACAGGACATTCGCCACTACCAGCAGCCAATGGACTATGAGGCTGGAGACAGCTTTGAACGCAACGTGAGACAGCGAATCCAGCCAGAGACACCACAGCTTGAGCCTTTACAAACGCAACAACAACTTGAACCCCCGCAGATACCACCACAACAGTCTACTGAACAACCACAAGATCAATTGCCAGAGCCACCAGTGCCAGAGATGGCAAGACCTTCACCTACGCAACCACTTCAAACGACCTCAAATGACAGCGATGATCCTCTACTTCAACCACCAGCTCCCAGAAGCTTTTCGCAGGTGATTGATGTCAGCGACGGCAGTGGTTCCAATGAACCCCCTCTTCGACCAGCGGGACATGTCAGCGCTGACGGAAGTTCACAGCCAACACCACCGATGTCAGGCAGTTCTGGAACCAGTTTGTCACTGTTGAGCAGACATCGACATGGTCAAGGCTGGCCTTACTACAGCTTTGTGGCCACCCAGGTTCCTGAAGAGAACTACCACCTTGTAGAGCGCATCACAGATGGATGGGATGGAAATGTGACACACATTTCACCAGTCACTTCCAAGGCCTTCAAGACAGCAATTGAGAAGACCGGCGAGGTGGACCTATCCAGCGACTCATCCAACGATGAAGAAGCCCCTTCCATGGATGTTATGACGCGCCAAGAGCGCAAGGCTATGGACCGTGAGATCCCGTGGCGCGTGATCGCCGACGGACCTCCTGACGTTTTGGAGCTCTATGTCCAGGCCAACAAGAAGGAGTTTGAGAGCTGGAAAAGCTGGGGAAGCATTTATGCATTACCCAAAGAGGAGATTCAGAAAATCAAGAACACACCATCCTTGAAGAGACGCATCATCCCTTCAAGGAATGCCTACCGTGACAAGTTGCGTGGTGCTGGCCCAACAATCAAGGCCAAATGTCGCACAGTGGTCTTGGGATGCCAGGATCCTGACTTAGCCACTCTGTCCAGAAGTTCACCTACGCCATCCAAACTTAGTGAAATGGTTTTGCTGCAGATTGCTGTGTCAGGAATGAATGCCCAGGTTGAACTCACTGGGAAGATATGGCATCTCTGGTCCGGAGATGTGTCAACTGCTTTCCTTCAAGGAGAACCAGAAGAGAGGCCGCTTCCTATCTTCATGAGGTCACCGCGGGACGGCATCCAGCGATTGGCCCAAACATTTCCCGACGAGCTCTATGGCATTGCAGGAAACTTGTATGGTTTTGCTTCAGCCCCAAGAACTTGGTGGAAGAACGTTTTGTCCACTGCTCAGAAGAAAGACTTCAAGCAGCATAGATACGACAAGTGTATGTTGATCAAGAAAGACAAAGAGAACAAGCTCCTCGTTGTCATGATCATTCATGTTGATGACTTTTTGTTTTGAAGGTCACCCAGAAGGCCTTCATTGATGAGATGACCATCGGCAAACTTGACCGAGGCCGACTTCAAGCTGAGTCCCTCACACCGGACGAATGGAAAGAATTTCGTTCAGTGGCTGGCTCTTTGCAGTGGCTTGGAGGACAAACACGTCCTGACCTTTGCAGCGCAGTCAGCCTTGCAAACCGTGGTGCTGAGACCAAACCCAAAGATCTCCGCACTCTCTATGACTATATGGAAGTTGCCAAGAAGACACCTGATCTCGGCCTGACGTTCAACACAGTGCCTTTCAATCGTGCAGCCGTGCTGATTGGATATGGAGACTCCAGTTGGGCCAATGCACCAGGTGGAAAATCACAGATGGGAAGCCTCGTTCTGATTGCTTCGCCAGACTGCTTTGAGCACCGAGCCAGCGTTTCCATTTTGGATTGGAAGAGTGCTCGCAGTCCGCGAGTGACAAGATCGACGTTGGCAAGTGAAGCCAATGCCATGGATGAGACCGTGGATAGATGCACCTACGCAAACTACTTTTTGACAGAACTTCTCTATGGTGGCACCAAAGATGGAGAACCACGCCTTGAGAGAGCCCTTCGCCAATTGCAATGTACAGACTGTAAAAGCCTTTACGATGCAGTGATCTCAGAAAATCCATCTACCACTGAGAAGAGAACAATGATTGCGATTCGCAGTGTGCAAGACTTTATCCACGAAGATGACTGCCGATGGGTCCCCACAGATGTGATGTGGGCTGACGTTTTAACGAAAGAAGATAGGCAGTTGTGCGAGGCGTTTCAGGCATGGCAGGATAATCCCTATGTCATGCTGGTTGATGAAAAGAAAGTATATCAGTGTGAATTTCATTCCGAAGAGCTTTGCATGTCATTTTGTGCTTTTGACCATTGCGTTGCACATTCATCAACCACCCGCTGACCTTTTGATGTTTCAGCGGGCCCCTTGAGCGATCTTTCACTTTGCCATGACTTTGGCGTGCAAAACAGATTGCAGCAGCGTTTGCACTCGCATGTTTATTTGATCTTTTGCTCTGCAACAGTGTCGCATCACGAGACTATACTCACATGTTTACGAATACCACACACACCCTGCAGGTCAGGCGACAGGGCCCTGACCGTCACTGCCCCGGAGGCAGCTGGCAACTGCGGTTACAACTAACTGGGAATTGGCTTCGCGATGCTACAAACGTGGGTGATTCGTCCTATCTATTCGAGCAATGCAAAACGTTACAGAGATGATCTCAGCACATACAGACACTTTACACTCCTTGAATTGGATGAGGATGAAGCGAACATTTGCAGAAAACCCGTGAAATTGATAGTAAGAACATTTAAGTCATTTAAGAACCATCCAGTTGTTTTTCCTAAAATCTGACCAGTTGTTTTTCCTGGATTTTTTTCCTCCACTTTTTTCAGACCTCTTGCTTGGGCAGGGTTCTGGCGAAGTGCGGCAAAGTCAGGGGCCCAGTGTCCTTTTGGATCTGCGGAAGCCCCAAGCATCAGACCCTATTCGCCAGAGTTGGCCCAATACCCTGCTGGCCAACCACTGGTTACGTTTTTTTCGATTCTGTTTTGCTCTGATGTAAGGAAAATTAATTCCACTCCAGAAAACCATGCCAGACTGGGGGCCACCCAGGCAAAAAAAACATAGAGTATTTGAACATGTTCCAAGACTTGTCAGAAACCATCCTACAGGGTCCACAAGCCAAGGATACTGGAAATAACAAAAGCATACCCAAATCACACCATTTTTGCAATGTTTATTTCAATCAATGCCCAAGTATAGGGTTCATTCAATGAAGTTCATTCTTGTATATTCTCAGGGTGCTTGTACCCATCAGTGATCATTAATCACCAGTGCCTACCAGTCATTGCCATTATTATAATGTCATAAGTATAAGCCCAGCAACAAACCATCCCCAATTTTACCAGAAATGCTTGGCAGACGACCTGCGAAGTCGCGATGAGAACGACAGCGCGGTGGGAAGCCCAGCCATGCCTGGGATGGGTTGAAATCAGCAGTGCTCTTGAGCCATGATAGTGGATCTCTTGTGATCTATGATTCCAATGATGCGCGCCAAATCATACCATCACCCCGATTGATCCTGATTGACTTTCATATATTTTCATGTTTTCAGGACCCAGGTGGCAGCATGAAACATATGAAACACATATAACGCTTTCATGGGGCCAGGCAGGTGAGATCGATGCGGCCCTTCGCGAGGCTTCCCCGGGAGGATGGATTTCGGTTACATTTTTTGTTACGAGATTTGATCAGAAGCAGGGGTAGTTCAACCAAAATCAGGATTTTGACCATGTTTCTGAGATATGTAGTGTGGATATCCCTGCGACATGCAGATCGATTGCCCAAAATTACTTAAGATCAATTGCATGATGGGGTGGGCGAAACTATGGGCATCCATGTTGTTTACAGAGCACGGTTTGCAAGTCCAAAGGGTTACAGACCTCAGAAAATGGATCATGGATACCCTCTGGTAATTTAACATAGCTATTGAAAATGGCTATAGAAATAGTGGATTTTCCCATTAAAAATTGTGTTTTTCCAAAGTTATGTTAGTTTACCAGAGGGTTACAGACCTCAGAAAATGGATCATGGATATCAAATGATATCATTCTTTGGTCATCCCTGATGGGATGACCTGATGGGATGACCATCGACAGGCTAGAATCGTGCTGCAAATGGAGGGTTTGGCTACTAATCAGGCTATGTATATATAAATATATATAATTATGTATATTATATATATATAAATAAATATAAATAAATAACAAAATAAATAACTAAATAAATAAGTAAATAAATAAATAAATAAATACATACATACATATATATATATATACTCCAGCCATTGCTGGTTCTCCCCGCATTTCCGTTGCAAGAATGCCAGCTCTTGGTAGGTCCTGGTAGGTTTTCTTCGGGTCGTTCTTGACTACCAAGCAGTTCGTGTTCTCATTGGCCATGTGTTCCCAATGTCGGTGAAGGCAACGAAGTAGCTGAGTCTTGCCCGCCAGGTCAGCAAAAGCACGCTGGAAACAGAGAGTCACTCGGCACTGGCAAGTGCCCACCAGTAGTCAAGTTTCATCAAGTTTCCAGGCAAAGTTGAACTCGAAGTTGTTCCAAAAAATGCATCCGTCGATCGCGACCGTCAAATCCATTAGGCTTGTTTTTGAATGCCCCGTCCGGGCATGGCCCCATGGGGTTGGTATTCCAATGAATGAATCTTCGGAGCCTTGATGTAGTTCAACCCGTTCAATCCCCAAAGTTTTGGGGCTTACCTTGGGGTAAACCAACATGGATATCGAACATGTGTGGTTACCCAGGAAAAAATATCAACACCCCTGAGAATGTGGATCTTCATAGATGTTCCATATCGATATTCTATATATATATATAAATTATATTTATTTATTTACTCTGTTCCCATTATGGATGGTATTTAATTGTTGGTTATTTCGTCCCCAGATTTTGGTGGTCAACCCCCCGATTTCTGATGGCCATGCACCATCTTTCGACGCTTAAACCCGCTACTGATTGGTATCTCTTCAGATTTGGGGTGCAATGATTGTGGTTAGTTATATAGTTATGGTGTATCATGGTGTATTCATGGTGTATATCCAATGAATATGATATTTTTAGGTAATGTGGGTCCAAGAATAAACACTCCCCCAGTCATCACCATTTTTATAGTTGGTATAAGATATATAAAATGGTATGTTTACCATTCCCAGTTATGGGTGGTTTATGACGTTATTTTACCCACATGATTCTTGATGGTTCGTGACACCCCAGATTTGCAGATTGGTATCCTGAAGATTCCATGGAGTTGGACGCCGTCTTGGCGGAGGAGCTGAGTACAATGGGGGGCTGGTGATATGGAAATCCATGGGGGAAGCCGCAGGGGCAAAACAGATGAATTTGCGATGGAAAATCATCATAAAACATATGGAAAATCATCATAAAACATGAATATACATAGATGGTCCGAAAGTACCCGGAGGGTATCTTTTGAGACAATAGCAATGTTCTGCCCTGGCAGAGTTGTCCGACAATCCGCTTCTGATTCTTAAACCTATCAGGCATAGTTTATTGTTCTGATGTTTTTTTGGGCATTTGCTGCGGGTAGCCCCGAATTAAAGATATTCGAGCAGAAGCACACACACAAGTATAATCTATATCTATATCTATCTACCTGTAAATAAATAAATATAAATAAAAAAAATATATTTCGAAACACATAAATATACATATGATGGAATTGATGGCAAGTGGCATCTGCCAGCCCTCCAGTCCTGCCAAAAGGACGCATCATAGCCTTGATGGGCTTTCTGCGGTTTCCGCTGAGAATCTCATGTGTTCCATCGGATGACCCCCAACCGAGACCTCTAAGACTCTAAGCATCACGAATCATCACGAAGCAACGGGTGAGGAGCTAGGCTTCGCGCATACCGACTTGGGCAGATGCCGGGGGTCCTTGAAGTGGTCAGACGCAGTTGAGGGATCACTGGTGGTGAGTCAATGTCAAATTATAATGAAATTATATGGGTAATCTATGGTAATCCCAGAAATTCAAGCCAGATAAGCCAGAGCCAAGAACTCAGCGGAGTTTTCGTTGGGTTCTGAAAAAAAAGCCCCGTTTTCGTTGGGATGCCCCGTCCAAGGTCGCTTTCCAGAGAACTGCATGTTGCAGGACCGGTGGACCGGCGGCTGTGCGAACTGGAGTTGATTGCTTTTGGGCCTGATTTGGACATACTGACATACTTAAGTTTTGACATACTTAATTGACTATAGTTAATTGACATACTTAATTGACTATAGTTAATTGACATACTTAATTGACTATAGTTAATTGACATACTTAATTGACTATAGTTAATTGACATACTTAATTGACTATAGTTAATTGACATACTTAATTGACTATAGTTTGTTTTGATATGTTTTGATGGTGGGTCAATGGATGTGCTCTTTGGTAATTCAACATAGCAGCTATGGATAGTCACCATTTTTTTGAATGTTTGATTAACAGGTAAATCATCTATAAACGGACCATTTTCCATAGCTGAGCTATGTTAAACTACCGGAGGGCAAATGGGGTGGTAAATTGTAATATTTGAGCCTATTTGAACCACCATGACCCAGCCATAGGGATCAAAAGTCACACCGGATAGATTCTTGGCATGCTATGACTCAAAGTGATAGACCGTGGTAATTTTTCACATAGCTACAGAAAATCAGCATGACAGAAAATGATGGGGTAAATCATCGAAGCCAATGGGTGGAACACCGAGAAACCCATCCAGGTAAGTTGTGATCGCTGCCCCGCCAGGCGATGCGCTCACCACAGTGGGGTCCCCGGAGCATGTGGCGCTGATTTTTGACACTTGCAGATGGGACCTGACATTTGAAGATGCAGAATATGTATGAACATGTTCATTATATTATTTATTATATATGTAGAATTATGTAGATATGCGAAATTATGCTAATAAATAAATGCATATGTAATATGTAAGATGTAATATGGATTGTACAATACAATACACTACACTACAATACCATACACACATACACACTCTGTTGTGCCAAGTGGATCTGAAGAGAATGAATCACGCTAAAGCACAAGCGACGCCATTGCCGCACATTTTCTACACGTAGGTTCTTGAGCTCAAGAGGGCCCCCTTCGCACGAAGCAATTCCATGCAAGAGGGGATCGAACAATCATGCATCAGAATGTAAGTGACCGAGTGGGTCGCTGTCTTGCCAACTGAGCCCAGCACAAACAAGTGATTGAGACTGAAAGGAGCGTTCACTCACTCGCCACATTCTTGCATACATGATGTGTGCAATTTCTGTGGCTATCGTGAATCGTGCCCACATCAGACATGTGCTGTCTTTAGAGCACCTTCAGGAGTCATGCATCTAGGGTGTGATTTCTTCAAAAGACACACCAAAGAGACAACATTCTCAACCCTAGATGCATTCTGGAAGGTATGGGAAAAATCACTCAAGATCTTTACGCTCTGGTAAAATTCCAAAGAGTGACGCCCAACTGTCTTCGTCCCAGTTTTCTGGGATATGACAAAAATGAAGATTATTTTTCTCTTCTTCTTGCTGCTTAGCGCGTCTAAGACGCTGAGCTTTCCGTGCTGAAACGAATTCAGTATTGAATCTTACGATCCAAGCTTTACGGGAATGAAACAGTGCCATTTCACGGTATGCCTCAACACTACACTTGGTCAATGAGTTCGCTAAGTTAAGATCAGAAGGCACCCAGGTCGGATGACACATAGTTTCAGGAGCTGTCCCTTGCTGCACCCCAATCATGTCGATGGATGCCCTCGCATCATCAATGGAGGTGCCCAGAGACTCGTTGGTGACCAATGCGTCATAGCATCCTCGGGAATCCATGATCAGCAGGCTCAAACATGAAGCCGCCAGACTCTCTGCATTGGTTCTGGTCAGTTTATTGTTGTACATCAACGACCAAAAAACTCGAGTTCTCCAACCTTTATTCTCACATTCTGCAATTGCTTGGCCTTCTGCACTGTTAGATCCAGCTATTACTCTTCGCAATCTCCAGCTACGCCAATCAATGAGAGAAATCAAACATTCTTTCCCCCGCAACACTTCTGTGGTGGTGAGTCCTGTGATGTACCCACCAGTACTTCCTTTCCCTGGGCGATTCTTTTGGGCCGCATCGCCCCAGTGACAGAAAACAAGATCTGAATACGAAAGTTTCTCCTGTCTCCCCAAATTGAAATTGTGAAAAACGATATCTTCTTTTGCAGTCTTTTTCAATTCTTTCAAAATGCTATTGGCTTCTCTCAAATTTGCCAAGCGCTTGTCACTCATAGCAGATGACGCTAAACCAATACGCGCTGCGTATTGTGGTGCTGTTTGGAGTGCGCGCCACTGTGCCTTCATCAGCAATGCTCTGCACTGTGATACTTCGCTGTCAGTCATCAAATCTGAATCTGACCTAGATTTGTCTCCAAAAATTTCCACGGGTTGCAAAGAATTACAAAAATCTTCTTGAGAAACATGAATTGTACCTGTGGATAGTTGACGAAGTCTACACCCAGCATAGATAAAATCCCCCTGTTCCCATGGCGACCAGACATACATCTCCTTCATATTCTTGCGAAATTGCTGCCAATAAGAATCATGAGGATCACCGCCAAAAAGGAAATCATCAACCTGTGAACCAATACGACCGCAGACTTTACCAGTTGAGGGGTTGACAACTATCCAAATACATCGATCTATGGGATGTGAACGTGCACCGAGCTGTCGCAATTTCTGATCTGCATCTTTCCAAAAGATACGCGGGGCATTAGTGAGACCATAAATAGCACCCACTATACGTAAGAGTTCCCCAGGCACTACTCCCAACGCATGAGCCAACTCTGGCACCGCACGTGTCCACAGTCGCCGTTTTTCCTCTGAGTTGTCTGCCTGTAAAAAGGCACTTTTCGCGTCTGATGATTCCATGACATGCCCATCCAAAGCCATAGATTGTAACAATAGATTACGACCAGTTCTTGATATAGTCGGGGATGAAGTCAAAAGTTCAGGTCTACCAGTGATAGGGTCCCGCTTGATAAGATCAGGATGTGTAAACCCCAGCAGAACTACTCTCGCTTTTGCTTTCTTTGTACCAGATTTGTGTACGGGAGTAGGTTCCCCAGGTTTAGGAGGATTTGGTGGAATGATTGGTTTCCAAGTTAAAACCCATCGCATGGGAAGATGGCGACCTGGATTCTCCTCTGCTTCCTTCTGCTCAGTGGCTTCCAAAATCTTGCGTAAAGCCATTGATGAAACCACTTCTGCTACTTCTCGAGCTTTCGCCTCATCAAATAATGGCTGCTCTTCAGGGAGAAGTTTAGAATACGTTACTTCTGTTCCCTTTGACTCCAAAACTCGCTTCACATACAAAATAGGGTTGGAAGTGAATGCATCTGCATCCAGGATATCAAACTCTACGCGATAGCAATCCAAAGGCTGAGAGGATGTACATGAAGAGGAAATGTACGACAGCAAAAATGACTCATCTTCCTTCTCTTTCTCAATCTGATCACGCAAAAGTTGAAGTGATTCTTCTTGTTTCTGCTGAATTTCCAACTGAAAAATCTTGTCCCGGACAAGCTGTTGAACCTCCGGATCTGAAATTTGATAAGCTTGCAAAACTTGTTCAATATTCTTTACTCCCATGGATTTCTCTTCTGGAACATCATCATCATTCAAAGAATACATAGGTACATCATAACTAGGCAACTGCATTAATGGCGGAAGTCCCTCACGTCGGCGATTGTCATTTACAGAAATCAGTTGGTTCCATCGCCGCTGCAATTCATCCACAGAAAGTTTTGGCTCTCTACTCCGTGATCGGGTTGGTCTTCCACTACGCACCTCTTCTGTCCACTGCTGTGGGCTTGAAGGTTCGGCGGTTGAAGCTGAAGCCGCTTGGTTACCTCGTGGAACAAATTGTGGATGATCTGGGGGAATAAGAGGTAATTCCTGAGAAACATCTACATAGGATCGAAGCTTTCGAATCATCTCCTCCTTGGGTATGACTAGAGATTCGCCGGATGCCAACAGTTCTAATTGAATTTCTTGTGGTGTAGCATGGCGAAGCTGTTCTGGCGCACATCTATACATAGTTGCTCCTAGCAATACCCAGATGACCCCTTGTCTCCGATCTTCCAATAGACTTGGTTCAATCAACACTACGCGGCCTGGCCCAATGAATCTTGGTTCTGGGTTATATGTAGCATCTCTCTTCCTTGCCTTTAGCGTAGCTGATCGCCACACGAAAACAAAATCGCCAACCTGAAAGGAAGAAACTGGACGAGAAGAGGAATTCCACAACCGGGTCATAGTCTCTTTTGCAATCTCTTCTGCACAAATAGCTCTTGCCCGATCACGATGTTGCTGAAGTTCTGCAAAAATTTTAGGACCTATACCAAAACGTTTATTTGCCTCCAGTGGGTCTGGCTCAACATCTCGTTTGAAATCTGGATCGCACCCATAGGCCCATTGAACTGGACTAAAACCATTAGACTTCCAAGTGTTGTTTGAGGCAATACACGCTAAATATGCTGCTGCTGCTGGATCAATCTCTGGATTCTCATTGCGAAGTCTTCTGATGATCCCCTTGGTGATCCGGACCATGCTTTCTGTTTTTCCATGTTGCCAGTGAGCTTCTCCCGCAATTACTGAAAGTCCAATACCAGCCATGGAAAGAAAATCTGACATAGCCCCATAGCACAAACTTGTTTGGGAATCTACAAGCACCCATTCCGGCCTCGGTCGGTGGATGAGCCATCCATTGCAGAAGGCTGCCACCAATTTGTCACCTCCATCAGTGCCAGAATCAGAGAGTGAACCAACATGGAGAACTTGAAGTGATACAAACTGCATACACAGATCTGCCATCACCAAATAACGAACTTTGCACTGCTGCTTCGGAAAGGGCACTTCAAACACATCCATACCTACAAATTGCCAAGGTTGAGGTTGCACTCCAATGCTCTTGTGGGGGATCAACTGATTTCCCCTCTGGTTCTCAACACATGCTTGGCACTTGAGATTTGCTGCTTCTTCTACCATCCACCTTGGTAAGCCTCTGTCCCGAATCAGCCTCGCCAAATTTCGATTGCTGGGATGACCAGCCGATCGATGCAGTCGGTGAAGCATGGCACGGCACCGCTCTCGTTGGGTGTCATCAACAAATTCATGCTGATCTTGGTCTGGGTCTGCATCATCTGGATCTTGTGTTCGTGGTTTGCGTTTTGATGCTGCATATGCGGTCTCATCTAGTTCTGGTAAATCTTCTTGAAGCTCTTGCAGTGTGAATGGATTTGATGCTACTGGATCTTCATATGAATGCGCTGCTGTGTGGAGTTGATTGAGGACAAACATGTCATTGTCCTGGAACTTTCCTTTCTTCCAAACTTGTACTATTCGACGTGCCATTGATGTGGGGTAAAATGCGGTAGCATTGACATGTTTTGATCCCATTCCCAACATTCCGCCAGGACGGTGCTCATGTGATCCGTCACACTTGGTGGTGGCATGCTTGAAAAAGAACTCATCAGTGGTCAAAATCACCCAGGGCTTGTTCAAGAGTTCTCCCGATGGAGCACGCACCCCAAACATGCAACCATGAATGTGCGTGCGGAAAAGTTGGATGCCAAAGGTTGAGTGAAGCCATCGCTCAAAACGCTGAAACTCTTGAATGCGCCAGCCGTCCACTGCATCCCGTGGCCACTCAAAGTAGACATGCACATTTTTTGGATCACGTGAAATCGCTGCCCTGAAAATGTCGAGAATGTGTCGCACCTGACGGCGACTTCGCAGTCTCATACGTCT